TGCCTTTGGAGGGATCAAGGACCCTGGATTCCTCGGGGACAGGGGTTTGACCTCTGGACAGAGAGGTGAGAAACTGTGGGTCCACGGGCTATTTGGAGGAAAGTGAGGAAGAGGAGGAGGGAGGGGTAAGACCCCTGAAGTCCTTGGAGGGCAAAAGGGGTGTGGCGAGAGGAAAGATGTGACACCAGAGGACTGTGTGGCTGTGGGCAGGACCCTGCCCCTTTCTGGGCTTTTGTGCGTTCACTCCAAAGAAGGAGGAGGAGGGGCTGCCTCTCGTGGCCTGTGTCAGTGGGCAGTGTCCTCGGTTTGGGGGTAAAGCTCCCAGGGGGTGCCAAGGGTGGTGGTGTCCTGAGGGATGGGCGGCAGGCATGGGGGTGTCTGGTTCGAGCTCAGGATTTGGGCTCTAACACCAAATCAGCAATGCTCTTACCAGCCATGTGGGTTTGGGCTGCTTCCGTCTCGAAGTCTCAGGTTCCCCGCTGTAAAGTGGGGTGCCTCTTGCGACAGTGGAGATGGTCAGAGAGCGGCTGGCTGGCATGGTCACTTCTGTTGCCACAGGAACTGCCATGCTCTGCCCTGGAGCTCATGGCCCTTCCCTTCACTAAGGCTTCACCAAGTACCTCTCCAGGACTTGTTGCCTGGGGACCTCGCAGGGCTAGTGTGACCTCAGGGCCACCTGGGAGGCAGGCTGCATAGTCAGCTGGTGCCCAGCCCCAGGACCTAGGTTGGACTCCATCCTGTGCCTTGTGAAGCCCCAGCAGCTTCTGTGGTGCAGGTTACCTGGCTGCCTACATTGGCTCCATGGGTACCCGTGGATCCAGATCTGCAGACAGGCGCAGCAGTGGATGGGGGGTGGGAGCTGCCAGCCCGAGCCCTGGGGACACCTGCTCTGGAGGCAGCAGCATCCTCCAGTCACGCTCAGTGTAATTTATCCTGTTGTTTCCCTGTGGGACGTTCAGGTCAGTTCCAGATCTGGGCCACCATCCAGACAATTGCTGTGTGTGAGCCTATATAGGAGCAGAGTCGCTGGCCCTTAGGCCCTTGGGCCTGGTAGTCAAGGCCAGGCCACTTTCTGGAGTGCCTATGCCTACCCCTGTCAGCCTGGTCTGGGTCCACATGTAGGTCTACCACTCACTGTTGTGGATGCCCGTCTTGGTAGGGTGGCAGCTGTGTTGCCAGGCAGCTGGACACCTGCCTCCAGCCTATCTTTCCCTCCTACTTTTCCTTCCCTTCTGGGCATCTCACTGCCCCCTTGCCCCTCTGCACCGCCCCCCGCCCCCTGCCTCTCCCATCTTATGAGGTGGGCTTCACTCCTCAGCATGATTTCTCTGCCCTTGAGCTTCATGCTACAGACCTGCCCTCTGTGGCTGAGCTGGAGACTCCGGCTTCATTTCAAAGCCCCTGGGTTTTGGCTCAGCCCAGCTGCAGTCCCTGCCCGGGGGCGGGGCGGGGAGAGGTTGGAGGCGGGGTGGATTTCTCGGGGAAAGCCATTGATGTTTCTGAGGTTGAGCTGAGCACATGAATTGGAGAGGCGCATGTCCAGGCCTGTCCCTGGAGAGTCCACCTTCCTGTGGACTGTGGGGGGAAGGGCAGAGCTGCGACTGGAGCCCTCTGAGCTCCTTGCAGGGACATTCTTGTCATGTGCCCATTCCTGGCACATGACAGAGAAGTCGATGCCCAAGTCCGGTCGTGGCAGCTTTGCAGGGACTGTCATGGGAAAGGGTGTTTGGGATCTCAGTCACTCAGTTACTTTGAGCCCTGGGTACTTTCAGGGCTCAGAGACAGGCTGGAGGTGTGGGCTCCCACTGGTGGAGCAGGCATTCCTCCAACAGCCCCTGCACACAGCATTCCTGGAGCCCTGAGCTGGACACTTTTCTTGTCAAGTCCCCAGGAGTAGGGCCAAGAGCTAGAACCTTCTCCTCCAGGGTGGACAGTTTAGCCATGGCAGGAAGTCCCCAGCCCATGGCTGCAGCAGGATTCACTGCAACGATTTGTCATGCAGGTGCCACACAAGAGCCACAGGCTCGCCCCAGGGCCTACAGGGCTGTGGCAGCTGTTGTACTGGGGCTTTGGTGGGCAGCTACAGAAGTCCACTCTGCTTGCAGCCCCACTGGAGGCCTTGGTGGCTGCTGGCTGTCACCATGTGCTGGCGTGGGGACTGACTCCTGAAGGCCATGGGTGTGTGTTCCCGACACAACAGTTGTGTCCCCCTGTATGTTGCAGCCTTGTCCCTAATGTGCTGGTCTTGAGGGGGGACGGAGGTGCATGTGGGGTTGGATGAGGTATGAGCTGGGCCCCTGTGATGGGTTTAATGTCCTAGAAGAGCCCAGAGAGCGCCCTCTCTGCTGTAGGACACATGGGGAGCAGGTGGCTGCCATAGCCAAGGAAGAGTCCTCAGCAGGGGTCCTGTGACCGTGAAGTCCAGTTCTATCAGTTGCACCAGCCGCCCAGCCTCTGGGGGGCTGTTATGGCGACCCAGGAAAGTGAAAGCTTGGTTTTGCAGGTGCTCAGGGCCTCCAGTTGAACTTGATGAGCTGTGAGGATCTGTCTGCTTGAAGTCACGGGTGAACGGGAGAAGCACGTGTAGGCAACTGCGTCGTGTCACCGTGCACATCTGGTTTCATCTCCAATTTCTGTTTACATCCATGTGCTACCCAAAGGCAGGTGCAGGATGGGGAGACTTTGGATTCTGTAGCTTTCAGCACCAATTACAGGCCCTTTGTCACCTGGGCCATGTGGGCTCTGACTATTCCTTCTGTATATTAGCAAAGAACACTTTTTGAAAAGCATTGATTGACTTGAAAGACAGGGTGGCAGAGATAGAGAAAAAGAGAGAGAGAGAGAGAGAGAGAGAGAGAAAGGAAAAGATCTTGCATCTTTTGGCTCACTCCCCAAATGCCCACATCAGCTAGGGCTGGGCTAGGCTGAAGCCTGGAGCCTGGAACTCCATCTGGGTCTCCCACGTGGGTGCAGGGGCTCACCCTTGGGGCCCCTCTGCTGCCTTCCCAGGTGCGTTACCAGGGAGCTGGGATGGAAGTGGAGCATCCAGGTCTTTTTTTTTTTTTCTGTCAAGTGTACTTAAGCGGTGAGAAAGTCAAAGGCACACTCAAGGATAGAGACAGAGATATGGGCGAGGAATGCTTTTGTGTTCATTTTGTGTCCGTATGTGACAGAGAGTGCTCCTTCCTGTTGCTTGGCATCTCATGACCTTGGGGAGGGAGTTAGTTGCGAGATGCCATCCTCCAGTCCCAGGTGAGAGGAAGTCCAGCCCGGGAAAAGTGCCTTTTGACTCACAAGTAGGCAGACTGTATTATAAAGGGTGAAGGGTGGTATGACTTCTAGTTCCCGAGTCTAAGCTTTCTATCTGCCTGTGCCACTCCATTCCCTTCTGAGATGTCTGACCTCTTAAGGGTTGCTGAAGGAGGTAGGAACCAAGTGACATCTACATCATGAGCAGGCAGCAGGGCTTGAGCCAGGCACTCCAGGATGGGGTACCGCCTCTGCTTCTGGCGTTTGAGGTTTGGCTGTGTATCTTTCATTGGCCTCCAGGTCTCAGTAATTTTCCTGACCAGCTGCCTTTTGGTACTGTCACATCAGACACGGTTGCGGGTCCCTGAGTGACCCTGGTTGCCTGCTGTACAGACCCCCCCAGGTGGGTGTAGACCCAGCGGGGCTGAGAGCGCCGGGCTCAGTGGGATGCCAGGTCCAGCTCTGGACAGACACTGGGCTCCCACTCCACACTGCGCGGATCTCAGAGGATGCAGAAGAAACATGCTCCATGTGGTTGACACCCTCATCGACAGGGAGGGGAGTCACTCAGAAACCAGTGCAGCAGGGGGGCTGTCTGTGGGGCTGTCTGTGGGGCTGCCTGTGGGGCTTACCCAGGAAGGAGCCTCTTCCCAGACACCTGCTGGCATGTGTAAGACGGCCTCCTCTACACCTTGTCTGCGGAAGGTGCTGGGTCTCACTCTCATGACCACTTTAAATAAATTCTGATCTTGGGCCTCCCTATGCAGGGGATCCCATGGCTCACAGTCCAAGGCTGAGCCAGGCTGGGGAGGTGGGGTCAGTCCCAGCTGCTGCCTTCTGGAGCCTGCGACAGGAGAGTAGCTGGCTGGCTTCCAGTGGGAAGACAGGTTCTGCCAATTTCCAAGCAGTTCAGCCAAAGGAAGTTGGCACAGCCCAGTGCCCTGTCTCCAGATGAGAGCTCCAGGGGGCTCCCGGAGGCTAGAAATAGGTGCTCTACTGTCTGTTTGAAAGAGAAATAGATCGAGAGAGATCTGACGCCTGCTGGTTTAGTCCTCAAATGCTCGTAAGAGCCAGTCTCCCCAAGGGTGGCAGGGACCCAAGGACCTGAGCCAGTCTCTGCTGCCTCCCAGGGTGTGTACTGGCAGGTACTTAGACATGGCAAGTGGGCATCCCAAGCAGTGACTTAACTGTTGTGACAAATGCTGGCCCCGCCCCCGCTGACTCCACCCCCGGTGCACCTCCCTGCTGTCAGGACATAGGAGCCGCCTTTAACGTCTGCAAAGAACTCACAAGTGCTGCAAAGTGGTTGCATCCCAGGGAAACAGAAGTTAGATCCAGCCCAAGAACTGACAGCTGGTAGGGCCCCGGAATGCCGAGATAGCTGAGGGGCCAGAGGCTTGGCCCTACCAGCTGTTCACCCAGGTGGGGGTGAGGGCCTAGTGCTGGCAGACAGTGCCTCATCTGGGGAGGCCACGCCAGTCCCGACAGCCAAGGGCATAGGGATTCCGTGTTCCTCTGGGACTTCAGATGTCAGAGAATGGAACCAACTGAAGATGGCCGTGTCTGAGTTCCACCCTCTCTGACATGCTGACAGCCAGGGCCCTGTGTGGAGGCTCTGATGGACCCCTCCGTGGCCTCCACACAGGGCCCTGGCTGTCACTGGGCACAGCCCTCTGTATCTCCCAAGGACGGTCATCACAGAACAGCAGCTGCCTTGGGGTGGACCTGCAGGTACCTTCTCTACCGCTGGCATGGGCACCCGTGACGATGCCACCCCAGGTAAGGGCGATGTGGGTTGCTGTTTGCTGTTGTGTCCTAGGCTGGAGGCTCTTTAACACACAGGGGGTGCTCAGGCTGTCTGGGGGCAGGGGGCAGAGAACAGCCCAGCTGGTTGTCAGGCCCTGGTGCTGGCTCTGCCTGCTGAGCGGCTCAGGGTACTCTGGGGACTTGGCCTGAGTTTTGTCTCCACTCTCAGAGGCCAGGCGGGCTGATGCTCTTCTAGGGCCAGGAGTGTGAGTCAGGGCTGAGGATGAGGGCCAGTGGCGTGGGGTGGGGGTAGCAGGGAGCGTGGCCTGATTCCTTGGCCCTCACAGGCAGTAGGTGACCCCAGTTAGCATCAGCAGCCAGAGCTCCACGCCTGGCCTGCCTTATGGCCTTGAACTTCCCCCTCAGAGGCGAGCATGGGTCCTGCCTCACTGATTGGTGTGCTGTGGGGTGCAGAGCTGCTGATCCTTGGGCGGGAGCTGGGGCTGCTAGCCTGGAGACCCCGGGGGACCAGTGTGCACTCCGGCCATTCCCTCGCCCTGGCCTGGGAGGCCTCTGAGGAACAGCTCCTGTGTGGCTCGGTCCACAGCCAAGGTGGTGGCTCCCATGGCCGTGTACTGTGGCACCATTCCTCGGACCAGCACCGAGCCCCGTCTGCTACCACCTGGAAGTGCCAGCCCCAGCCTGCCTGCTCATGAAGAAGGTGAGATGCTGACCTGCCAAAGTCCCAGGCCTCTCTGGAGGCTTTCGAAAGAGATTGGGGGCTTCAGCTGGCCAGTGCTACCTGGTCAGTTGGGGCCAGGGCCGTGGTCACAGCCAACGGAGGGCCTCGCCCTAGGGGAAGCTGGGCTTCTCTGCTGATGTAAGCAGGTGCTTCCAACTCTGCACCCTAGGGACTGGAGGAGACCCTAGGCGGGGGAGCCAGGGATGGGGTGGGTGGGCTGGCTATGCAGTGTGGAGAAGGCGCTATTCTCAGGGTCGGAGGTGGGGGTGTCCAGCTTTGCTGGGTGGGTTCTGGCTCACTCTTTGGTTGGCACTTCTCTGTGTTCCGTGACGTTCTCATTAGCTTTGCAGAGTTTTGGCGCCCTGGCTCTGGGTGGAGAACCTGGTGGTGCCCTAACTTGGCCCCATGTCCTGCCAGCCTCCTTGTGGCCCTGAGGCTGGTGCCAGCTGCAGTTCCTTCCCTTTGTGGCCCAGGGTCCCAGGGCTTTACAATTCATGCCAGGGGTGTGTGCATAGCCAAGCTACAGCAAGCTGGTCATCAAGTCCTCTTCGCTTTGCTCTCTGTCCCAGGTGCAGCTTAAAGGCCGCCAGTGCCTGAAGTCCTGCTAGGTTCCTTGTCACCTCTGAGTGCATTCAGCGAGTTGTCTCGAACTCACTGCTTATCTCATGGAGACCTGGCTCTGAACTTCCCTGTGGGCTGATTTCCTGCATACGTTGAAAGTCCCTTAGTAATAGAGTGCACCCCCTTCAGCTCTGACTTTCCCCTGCCTGGGCAGTGCTGGTCGCTAAGTGCTTGCTGATCGAGAACTTGATGGGTTCATGTCTACTGAGTTTGTTCCCAGTCTTCCAGCATCACTCAGGTGTCAGGCACACTCCACAAACATGCCAGGTCCTGGAGAGGCCTCTGAGTGCTGATGGCTCCCATTTGTGCTATGACAGGACCCACATTTGTCCCTTCCCTCGGGTACCCTGAGTATAACCCGGGTCTTGTCCAGGCTCAGCCTTGGCACAGGCTGCAGGTGGCCAGCAGATGGCGCTGCAGCAGTGCCAGCCTGGGTCCTGCCTGCTCATGACCCTGTCTCCCTCAGCCTCCCTCCAGGCCCAGCCTAGCGTTGGGGAGCAGCCATCACAGCTCTTGAACAGACCTGGGGATTCACGAGGCCTCGAACTGGACACTCTCTGGAAGGGCTGGCAGACCAGGAATGGTCACCCTAAGGACCTTGGTCTCCTGTCTCTGGGGCCTCGCCCTCCGGCGCCCCTGCCTTCGTTGGAGTCGCAGGCCAGCAGTGTGGCCCGGGACACAATCCAGATCAAGGACAAACTCAAGAAGAGGAGGCTCTCAGAGGGCCTGGCAGCGTCTGCTCGAGGTGAGCTGCAGCCCCTGCCCGCCTGTGCCCATCGGCCCCAGGTCACCCAGGTGACCAGCAGCAGGTAACCTGCCTGGGTGTATGCTGGGGACCTTTGGGGCTGGTCAGCGTGTGCCTTCTGTGTGGCGTGCTGACCTCCCTGTAACAGCATCTCCTCCTGGTCACCACTGCAGCCCCCAGTCAGCTTCCACACTGCCTGTCTTTCCCTGGGGGGTGCTTCTGAAACAACGCCTCTTCCCTCCTCACAGTGACTGCTCTGTGAGCTTCCCATAGGTGGAGGATCAGGCTGCTATGCCATGACGCTAGCCCTCTCACCCCCAATCTGCTTTTTTTTTTTTCTGTTTGGGATGCCAACATTCAATCCATATCAGAGTGTGTGTTTCCTTTCTTTTTTTTAAAAAAAGGATTTATTTATTTTTGGAAAGGCAGATTTACCTAGAAAAGGAGATACAGAGAGAAAACTCTCCCAACTGCTGGTTCACTCCCCAAGTGGCCATAATGACTGGCACTGAGCCTATCTGAAGCCAGGAGCCAGGAGCTTCTTCCTGGTCTCCCACGCAGGTGCAAAGTTTTGGTTTTGGGCTCTCCTGGACTGCTTTCTCAGGCCACAGGCAGGGAGCTGGATGGTACTGGAGCAGCTGGGACATGATGGTACCATATGGGATGCTGGCACGAGCAGGAGGAGGATTAGCCACTTGAGCTGTCATGCTGGCCACCCCAATCTGCATCTTATTTTCTGAGTTTTGAGTGGTGACTGATCGGGTCCTGCTCCCTAGTTTCACAGGAACGAGAATGTTGACTTAGTCTACTGGTGGGTACGGGGGCGGGGGCAGACAGGCCTCTCTCATTCTCTGCCCTCTCCCAGGACACAGACCCTGGTCCCATCGGGAGCTCCCTCCCTTCCCTGCCTTCCAGGATTAACACCACTCCTCCCCTCTCCGCAAGCCTCCCTGGATGCCAGTGGTGTTCCCCTAAGGAGCACTGTGCCACGTGCCACCTCCCAGAGGCTGCTGAGGGTGCCCAGGCCCATGCCACCCATCCAGAGCATCCCCACCACCCCCGAGCCCAAGGACAGGGGCCTGGACCCGCCAGGGAGCCGGCAGGGTGCCCCAGAGGTGAGTGCTCCCACTGCGGTCCGTCTGAGCTGGAGCTTCTCAGCCCCCATCCTGTCTTTCCATCCTGTACCAGTGCCAGTTCCTGTATCCTGCGCGCCCCCGGGGCTGCCCTTCAGGATGGGGGAGGCCCAGGGCCCTCATTTCATAACCCCCTCACTCTACACTCAAGACCTCTGAGCTGGGCAGGGAGGCTGAGTGGAGGGAAGGGGCTGCAGAGCCACCTGTCTCTGACCTGCTGGTCCCTAGGGCCCCTCTGGTCCAGATGCCTGAAATTCCACCTGCCTTAGGTGTAGACCAGGGGGGGGAGGGTGGCTGAAGAAAGGATGCTGGTGGAGACGAGGCAGGGGTCACACGCCTTGCTGTGTGACTTTGGGCAGGTCACTTCCCTCTCTGGGCCCTAGTTTTTGCATCTATAGAACTAGAGGTTTGGACTGGATGTGGTTGGAGGTCCTAGGATTTTTCTGGAATGAGAGCAATAGAAAAGCAAATGCTAGCAACAGAAGGGGCATCCAGTATTCCTACTTAGAGGTGGTGAGCAAGGGAGTTTTTAGAAGGTCTCAGGGATGGGAAGAGAAGCCAGAGGAACCCCTGCCAGCTCTCTGCCCCTGGGCGGCTCCTGGGAGGAGGCAGTACCCCTGGGAGGGGAGCCTGCAGCCCGCCCTCCCTCCCTGCGTCTGCCCCTAGGTGCAGGTGTCCCCCCAGTACCTGCACTGCAAGGATGAGAAGCTGCTCAAGTCTATGGCAGGCATGGTGATCCCACCCATTGCGAAGACTGGGTCGTCAGGCAGGGCTGCTTCCTCCACAGCACTGCTGGGTTCCCCTTCTGGACCCTTGCCTGCAGGCCAGGACGTCCTCGCAGGGCTGGCACCCCCAAGCACCCGGTAAGAGCCCCAAGCCCTGTCAACCTTGCCACCTTCTCCTTGTCTGCCCGCTGAGATCGGTGCTACCTGGATTCCATGCCATGGGGTAGAGCTCTGGGGCCAGGAACCAGGAACCAGGAATTTCCTCCTAGTCTCCCATGTGGGTGCAGGGGCACAGGGAGCTGGCTGGAAGTGGAGCAGTGGGGACTCCAACCAGCGTTTAGGAGGGATACCAGCAGGTGGCCGCTTGACCTGTTGTGCCACGACTTTGGCCCCTGCCGTCCTGTTCCTCTGAGGACTTATTGTACCAAGTCTCTGCAGTTCTCTCCACTGTCCTCACAGCCCCTGCCTCTCCCTCACCCCTGCACAGCACTGCCTACCCCTGAGCAGCATGCCCAGGGGTATGTGGGAGGCAGAGACAGACTGGGTGCTGAGCTGGGCTCCTGCATCAGCAGCTGCCTAGTTCCCAAGCGCGCTGTGGAGACAGCGATGGTGTGGTGGACCAGGCTTGGGAACACTGCCCCCTGGAGGCCCACAGCAGTTGTGGGTTTCTGTGCTCTAGGGGTGGGAGCAAAGCCTGGGCCTCCATCTTTGCTGCTGAGGGGTCTTCAGGGAAAGGGGCAGCAAGGGGCTTCCCCACAGCGGGAGGGGAGGAAAGGCAGCCCGCCCCTGGATGCAGAGCCTGAGCTGTTGGCAGATGGAGCTGTGCCTCGGAGGAGGAGCTCCCTTGGAAATGCCTGAGACCCCATGAGGTCCTAGAAGTCAGGGAACACAGAGGGGCTCCCGGCTCCTGTTGCCCTGTCGCCGACCCCACCAGTCCGTTAGTGTGGCAGGCAGTGGCGAGTTCCCTGGCCCAGGACAGGTCGTGAGTGGCATTGCTTGTGGTCCTCTGTGTGGCTGCACTCCCCAGAAGAGGCGCTTGAGGTCTTGTTGCCCAGGCACAGTCTGAGGTCTGGCCCCTCAGTGGACCCAGGGAGTCCTTGACCTCCTGTGGGTCATTCTGTGAGTGAGTCTGAGGCCAGAGTACAGCCCGTTGTGCTCCTGCCCTTGGCAATGGCCTCGCGCTACTCCAACGCGGCGTGGGTCTCGGCCCCAGCACACTTCCTGCAAGGGGAAGGGTGTGGTCGCACAGAGGTGGTCTCCCCGGGAACCTGGGATCCTGGAAATCTTGGTGCTGCCCAGTGCTAAGGGGTCTGGTGTTGGCAACGCCCGTGTCGCCACGTACCCCGAGCTCCGAGTCGAGCGGAGGGACTAGGGTTATGAGACAGACAAGACAGACAACACACAGACACAGTGGGTCATTCTTGTGAGGAGAATGCTGTTTATTTGAAGTCAAGCTGCATCTTTTATAGTCTGCTTGGCCCCTCCCAGGATCCTCCCAATGGTTAAGCCACACCTAAGCTCCCCCAAGGACATGCAACAAGGGGAAGCAGGAAGGAAGGAGATTGCAGTCAAGCCACAGGCTAAATGTATCAGGCCATGATTGCCCTTCCTGTTACACCCTTGAGAAACAAGCTGTGCTGTGGAGTTAATCCTTGGGAGACCCGGCCGCGCAGTCTGGGACAGTGCCCGGCCCATCTTGGGGCCTCGGCACACATTTGTTGAATGAGGAAGTGGTAGTTGGCATCGGCACAGTAACAGCTGAAGCCAGTGTCAGGCATGCCGCCTGCTGCCAGGCCTTCCTGCGGGCCCTTGGGGTTGGGTCACTCGTGCCTACAGAAGGAGCTGCACATCCTGCAGTATTCAGATGAGCCGCTGTGCCCCAGGGTGGCACGGCCCCGCTCTGTGCCCCAGGGTGGCACGGCCCCGCTCTGGAGCCTCTTCTTAGAACTGTGCTCATCCCGTTCTATCAAGGTTGGCTCTGGACCATGGCCCGCGGGAGAGGACCCCCAAGTCTCTGGGTACGTACTCCCCACGTGTGTCTTTCCCACCTGTCTTGCGTGTGTGTTCCTGCCCACGACAAGGTGTGCCAGGCTCCAGGAGAGCTGAAGGCACTCGGAGAGGGGGTGGGGGTGCTGCGGCAGGCCTGAGGGTGGGGATGGGAGAGGAGCAGTGGTCAGGGTGCCCAGATGGGGGACCGTGTCCCCTTCCTCCAGATATGGGATCAGGGTTAGCCCAGTCAGGGAGTGAGGGCTAGAGGGCAGACATTTTTTGTTTGTTTGTTTGTTTTTAGTTTATTTGTTTTCACTGGAAAGTCAGATATACAGAGAGGAGAGACAGAGAGGAAGATTTTCCATCTGATGATTCATTTCCCAAATGGGTGCAACGGCCAGAGCTGAACTGATCTGAAGCCAGGAGCCAGGAACCTCCTCTGGGTCTCCCACGCGGGTGCAGAGTCCCAAGGCTTTGGGCTATCCTCAACTGCTTTCTCAGGCCACAGGCAGGGAACTGGATGGGAAGTGGGGCTGCTTGGATTAGAACCAGTGCCCATATGGGATCCCGGTGCATTCAAGGCAAGGTAGCTACTAGGCTACTGCACCGGGACCAGAGGACAGCCATTTTAAAGGTGGGCTGAGCCAGCCCTTCTGGGCCTGATAAGTAAGGTGGGGTGGAAACTGACCTCGGACCTGTCTTCCCATTTGGGGAGCCCAACATCCTGAGCCTGGGCTGCCAGGAAAGAGGGGACTCATCGACAGGCCCCTTTGCTCAGCATGGTCAGTTGACCACAGGGAAAGGGAAAGGCACAAAGCCTGTGTGGCAGTTGCTTTTGCGCTTCTCCTGGGGTGACACATACTGGCACCCCAGCATGGCCTGGAAGAGGAAACCCTGAGAGCCTGAGTTAGGGTCGGGGGCCTGCAGACAGGGTAGGCTGCTCCAGACAGGCTGACCAAGGTGTCTGCCGAGTGTCCAAAGCATTGCCAAGGGTGGGGTGGGGGTTGAGGAAGCACAGTAGGAGGTGCCACTGGGGTCAAGGGAGGCAAGGGAGGGAGACAGCACGGAGGGAGCCGGGTGAGCCACGCTGAGCCGGATGGAGAGTGGAGTGGCTGGGACATGAACAGGCACCTATATGGGATGCTAGCACCTGCAAGTGGAAGATTAGCCAATTGGATCACCATGCTGGCCCCACCATACCCCTCTTATGCCCGGGTCCCACACAGGGGACTCTTTCTAGTCATTGCAGGCTAGACAGGGGACTGGGGGTGACCTAGGAGCCATGCAGGACTCCAGTCTCAAGCAGCCTCCCATCATGAGTGTGGGACCTTACAATGCCCACTTCCTACCCACCTGAACTGCCCACTGAGCTCTGTCTTGCCCTGCCAGGGAAGCTCGGGGCAGGCTGAGGGCTTGGGCAGCAAAGCGGCAGCCGCTGCAGGGTCAGGGAGCACTGGGGCCTCCAGGGTGCTGGGCGCCCTCAGCTCCACTCCTTCCCTTGTCTCCTCAGGGCCCAGACCTTTAGTCCCAACCCCCAGAGAGGGGTCAGCCTCCGCCTCCCGGAAGCCTGCCCTTCCTTCATCTCGGTCAGCTCCCACGCTGACAGCCTTCTCCTTCAGCCATGCCAAAGAAGCCCATCCCCTGTGGAAACAGGAGGACACGAAGGAGGCCAGCACCAAGGTACCTGGCAGTGGATGCTTGGCGGAACACCAGGAGGCTTTTATTGACCTGTGTAGTGTGGCGCCCTCGTGTGGGAGAATGGAGCCAAGGCAGCCTCCCCGAAAGCCTAGAACCTACAGTGGGATTCCGGGTGGGGTTTGAAGAAGGGAAGAAAGGCAAGGATGAGGGGCTAGGGATGAAGGGACAAGGCAGAGCATTGCCAAGGGTGGGGTGGGGGTTGAAGAAGCACAGTAGGAGGTGACACTGGGGTCAAGGGAGGCCAGGGAGGGAGACAGCACGGAGGGACCCAGGTGAACCACGCTGAATCCTTGGGATGGATGCCCGAGGAAGCAGCTGACTGTGGTGGCGATGGCAGGGCCCACGGCTGGGCCTGAGAGGCTGACATGTCCCTGATGCAAGGTGACCTTGAAGAGGTAGCTCCCGTCGCTGGGTTGGGACAACTTTCTCCCTGGAGTGTATCTGAGCTGGGCAAAGATGCCCTGTGCAGAGATGCTTCCGGGCAGTTGCACAAAGCTCTGAAGGGCAACTGGGCGCATGCTCTGTGCCGGTGACCCACTCGGCGCTAAATGGGGATGGTCCTGGACTCCCAGGCCTCCCACTCCAGCAGGGGCGACAGCAGTAACAGCCCCATGTGGTCAAGTGCTCTCACCCTTCCCCCGAGTCCAGCCACTAAACAGGAGTCAGGTTCTGCCCTGTGGGTGAGCAGTCCAGCTGGGGTCCACAGTGTCCCCTGCCTGCCCCAGGCACACCCCAGCCTTGGGGCCTCTTCCATGGCTCTCCCCCTCTCCCTCCCTTACCTGTGTCGCTCCACAGGGCGTCCCTTGGGCCACCTCTGTGTCTCTCTGCTCTTCCTTGAACGTGCGTTGCCTGCTGGGCCAGTAAGGGGCTGCATTGTCCCATGAAGTTCCTGGGGACCAGGGTTTCCATTCCAGAACTGGGAATGGCCTGCAGGGGGCACTGGTGGCCTTGACGATTCAGTGGGGGAAGGTAGAGGGAGGACGGGCGGGTCCCTGACAGCCTGTGACTTTGACCTTGTGCCAGATCCACGTCACCATTTCCAAGTCTGCCCAGCAGAAGATGCGGCTGAAGCAGCAGACGAAGGAGCTGGAGGTGTTGTACAGGGCGAAGCAGCCAGACGCGGCCCGGGAGCTCGCGTCTCACAGCCTGCCTTGGAGGGCCGTGGCCAAGGAAGGTATAGGGGCAGGATCCCTCCAGCTGGGGACACTGCTTGTCCAACTTCTTCTGAAAATTGTTGTTATTGTTTATAAAAAAAATTATTTATTTGAAAGGGAGAGGGAGAGAAAGAGGGGAGGAGAGACATTTCATTCTGGTTAATTTCCCAGATGATTGTAATGGCTGCTCAGGCCAAAACCAGGAGCCAGGAGCTCCACTCGGTCTCCCTCATGGCTAGAAAAGCCCCAAGCACTTGGACTGTCTTCGGCTGCTTTTCCAGGTGTCCGAGCAGGGTATTCAATGGGAAATGGAGCAGCGAGGACTCAAACTAGCACTCTAATGTGAGAAGCTGACGTTGCTGGAAGCTGCTTAACCCGCTGTGCCACAATGCCGGCCCCTATTATTTTTGCATTTGATTTTCCATCTGTTGCTTTACACCCCTAAGTGCCTGCAACAGCCAAGATTGGGCCAGGCTAAAAATCAGAAACTCTGGGTCTCCCAAACGGGTGGCAGGGTCCCCAAGTATCGTTACTGCCTCCCAGGGCGTGTGAGAGCAGAAAGCTGGACTGGGAGAAGCGGGGTAGTGGGGACATAAAACCAGGCAGGTTTCTCAAGCTGAGGCTTAACCATTGTGCAAAAACACCTGCTGAGCTGAGCCCTCAAGAAGAACCTCCCTGCCTGGCTTCCCACTGCCCCTGAGAGTGGCAGGGGGCTGGGGGTAGCCTGCCGAGGGGTCATACCTACAGGGGGACTTGGAGCTCAGCCCTAGGATTTGGTTTGCCTCCACAGGCCTCCTTCCCCTCCGGACCAGCGGAACTCAATCTGTGCCCACGGGGACAAACAGCCCACGCAGAAACATCGGCATGCCCCTGAGGAAGCGGGCCAGCCGGTCCTCCCTGCCCAGCATCCCGGTCAGCAGGCAGGAACCCAACTTTGCCCGGCACGCATCAGGTGCGGCCCAGACCCAACAGGTGGACAGGTGGACCTCTGCTGGTGCCACCTTGGACCACTCAGCTTCTGCCATGGTGCATGTTGAAGTTGGGGGCAACCTGAGATGGAGGTTGCCTTGTCATAGAGTTTCTGGAATTCTTACTTGCCTATGGACCCAGGGGAGCCAAGATATTACATCAGCTGGTGTGGCTTGTCCTAGAGTCAATCCCAGGAAGCAACACTTGAGCCACACTGGGTAGGAGACAGGTAGTAACCGGGAAAAGAAGGTGCTAAGATTCCTTGGAGGCGCCTTGGGGAAGGTGCTGGGGGAAGAGGCGGGGGCTCTGGCTGCCTGTCTGCCACAAAAGCTTTTAGTTTGCCTTGCTTGGGTCACAGGTACACTCCTCTCCCCTCCCAAGCCCCCTTTCTGTCCTTTTGATGGTTTTAGACAGAGACTTAGCTGAGTTCCGTGTCTTCTGACACAGCCGCGCCGAACAGGCTGTGCTCCAGTCAGAGCGTTTCACTGCGATCGGCAGGTATTTATCGTATGTGATGACAGGTAATATTAGTTTACCCATTATGGCAGGGACATGGAATTCCCTCGAAAATAAATTTATTTAGAATTTGAAGAAAAGTGCAGTATTTGGGAAAGTTGAGGTAAGTTCAGAAGACTAGCAGAGGAAGACATCATCGCGGTGGTAGCTGAGAGGTGGTTCCTGGAAGAACTGGGCTGTGCGAAGCAGCCCACTCGGGTCGGAACAGCAGAGCTGAGACCTGGTTCTGCAACGGTCACCCAGGGTCACCCCAGGTGGTGGTGGCCACGGGAACTAGGACCTTATCCCATGGCTCTTGATTGAGTGTGTCTGAAGGGTGAGTGGGTAGAAATCAGGTCTTCAGGGAAGTTAGGTTGCTGGAGATAAGAAAAAAATTCCAACGTTCTCAGTTTTTCTCACCATCTCCTGGGAAGCTGAGTTTGAATGCGACTGCACGCCCCTGCCTCTCCTGGTAGTCAGCAAAGAATTACTCAAGTTACTTGAGCAATTTTATTTATTCATTGACTAGAGCGAGCTCTCTTCTATTGCTTTGTTTCCTAAATGCGTGCAATGACCAGGGTTTGGGGCCAGCAGGAGCTGGGCACTTGGAACTCAATCTAGGTATCAGGAGCTCAAACACCAGAGCCATCTCCACTGCCTGCTGGGGTCTGCGTTGGCAGGAAGCTGATATTAGGGGCCAGAGCTGGGGACTGGACACAGGCCCTCCAATGTGGGAGGCAGGCACCTTCCCGGCTGGGCTCCGTGCCAGCTGCCCAATCTAATGGCTAACAGCACTCGGCCAGCTGTCAGTCTTTGCAGGGGTGGCCAGGCCTTGGCTGCGAGCCTTTGGGTGGCTCCCCTGTCTTGCCAGTGTCTCTCGTGGCTGTACTGCTGGGGCACTCATCTGTTCACAAGTGCTCCAGGAGGAGGTGGGAGGTGCTGGTCACTCAGATGCTGGGTGTGACGTGAGCACAGAGGGCCTCTGTGACCAGCTCACTGAGCCTCACTGCCACCATAGGCAGGGCAGGAATGCAGGTGAACCTGGCCATGGCCCTCAGGCCAGTAACTGTGGGAATGCGCAAAGTTTGCACGAAGTAGTCCACGGAGCACCGGGTGGTTCCCCTGGCTGCCCAGGGAGTGTGGCCCGGGGATGTCTTCCCTGTTCCTACCACTCCCTTGCTACCCGTGGGCCCAGTGCTGCCTGCCAGGCCTCTGCGGGTTAGGTGGGCAGGCTGGGGAGGGGCAGCTGCTGGGGCAGGTGACGGCCTATCTGCCAGGCTGACAGCTGCTGCCCCCTCCTTCTCTGTGACCACAGCTAACTCCTTGCCCGCGGTACTCACGCTGGGCTCTCCTGAGTGGGAGGAAGAGGAGGAGGACCTGGAGGGTAGAGGTCTGCGGGAACTGAGGCCTTTCTCCAATCCCGAGCTGGGCCTGACGGACGCCCTGCAATGCCTCGGCAGCGCTGACTGGTGAGGACTTGGCTGCTCCTGCCTGTGCTGGGGCCGGCGCCAGGTGGGGTACTGCTCTGTCCCCCAGCCGCCTGGCAGTCCCTCCCTGGGCTCTGGTACTGTGGGGAGATGAGTGTGTGTGTGCATGTATGAGCTCTGGTGTGTGCACATATGTGTTTAGGTGTGTGTGTGTGTGTGTGTGTGTGTGTGTGTGTGTGTGTGTGTGTGTGTGTGTGTGAGTGTGCACACATGTGTTTGGGTGTATGTGTGTGCCTGTGCTTGGGCATGTGCCTATGTGGATGTCTCCCAGACCCCTGTGTGAGCCCTGGGACCCTCTAAGTGGTTCCAGAGTTGGACATAACAAGTATGAACTTGATTCCAGGACCTGGACCTAAGGGAGCGCCCATACCATTATTTCTGCGAATCACATCTTACCTGCTCAGAGCCAGAAGCAAAGCACAGACTCAGGGTGCTGGGCATGCGTGGAGTAGCCTCTGCAGGCCTCGGGCTGCCCTCTCCAGAGGGCTTCAGCTTGATGTCAAGGACCCAGATGGGTCCTGGGGCAGGTGGCCTCCCCCCCCAACCCCGGAAAGGTGGCGCCTTCTGAGCAGCTAGTCCTGTAGGGGATGGTCATCCCAGTGAGCTCTACCCCAGGGCCACCCCCACCCTGCTGTGAGGTGACGTGGGGAGGGTGAGGAGCAGGTGGCCCAGGTGTGAGGAAGGCAGGGGATCCTTTCCTCCCACGCACAGTGACTGGTCCCACCTTGCTCCCCAGGCAGGTGAAGGAGAAGGGCCTGCTGAGCGTCCAGCGCCTGGCCACCTGTCACCCCGAAGTGCTCGCTGGGAGGCTGCACGACGTTTCCTTGGCAGTGTCCGGGGAGGTGAGGGCACCCCATAGCCTGTGTACCATGCACTGTGTCCCCTGCCCCTACTCCACTGCTCCCCTGCCCTGCTGTAGATGCTGCTTTGGGGGGTTCTGTGGCAGCTATGGAGTGGTGGGTGGGGGAGCTCACTGCCTGGAAAGGAAGCAGCTGGACTGCTGAGTGCCTTTTCTCGCAGTGAACACTGTCCTCTTTGCTCAACCCTCCCCTGCACTCCCACCAGGAGGGATGGGGTGTCCCTGGCCCAACCTTGGGCATCTGTCACATTCCTCCAGTGGCTGGAGTTGGCCTAGGCTGGGTTGGGAGAAGCAACAAGAGATCAGGGAACTCACTGGACCGATGCCTGGCTCAGGAGTGGGCATGACCACAGAGCACCCCGTACACTGTGCTGACACCAGGGATGGGGTGGGTTGGCCACCCACCGGCCTGCAAGTGGCCTGAGCTCCCTGCTTCCTGCACACCGTGAGCTTCCTTCCTGCACCCCCAAGGACAGCTGTGAAACTCCAATTGGGCATTCTCTACAAACGCGCGTAGAAGCCTGCAGGCAGCTGTGTGTTTCAGGTGCTAACAGTGTCATGGGAGTCCTGACGACACGGGGAACCCCTCTGCCCAGGGCTGCATGATTTACCTCTCATTTCCGGTTTGGCCAGAGCCCTCACTTGCTAGCCTGGACTGAGGGAAGGGTGGTGGGAGGATATCGCAGTGCTCAAGACCCTGGCAGGTTTAGTTGTGGAGGACCCCCTCCTCTCTCTCCTTCTCTCTGTCAAGGTCACCAACCTCCGCTCCAAGGTGTCCCGCCTGGCCATCAGCACCCTGGGTGACCTGTTCCGAGCCCTGAAGAAGAATATGGACCAGGAGGCTGAGGAGGTGGCCCGTTGCCTACTGCAAAAGATGGGAAACAGCAGCGAGTTCATCCAAAGGGCTGCCAGCCGCTCCCTGGGGGCCATGGTGGAGAGTGTGACCCCCGCCCGCGCCCTGGTGGCTCTCACCTCCACAGGCGTCTAGTATGGGCTGCTGCATTGGCTGGGTGGGGAAGAAGTAGGAGGGTCCCAGGGCTACAGTGCACAAGGTGCTTTCCCTACAAGGGCCAGGGCTTTCAGCTTCCCCAGCTTTCCGGGACAGGCTCCAATAAGGAAAGGAGCTAGGACCAGGGAGTGTACAAGGTGGTCCTGGCAAGGTCCCTCTGCCTGCTGGGGAGACAAGACTGCTGGGCTCCTGCTCAACTGGTGCAGCCTAGCTTCCTTCTGATGAAACCAGGTCTATAAGGTGCACAAGGTGCGGAAATGCCACACTTGGGTTGATGCTGGTGGCACAGGAGAGGATGGGGCAGCCAATCACTGTCAACCAGAGCCAGGGGCCTGGCAGGAGCCTGACTGGGACTCATGCGCTGGGGACCTGCTAACATGCAGATTCTGATCCCGGTGCTGGTGCTGTTGGCCTCTGGGCTGCTCTGTGTGGAGAGCTCCAATGCTCTTCTTTGCATTTCCCCTAGGTGAAAGCCTGGGTGGGGTGGTGGGGGCCCAGGTTGCCTGATGGCTGTGACAAAGAGGCCCTGTTGGAAGGAGGTGACCCAGATGGGTTTCTCTTACCAGAACTCAGTGAAGATGATGAAACCCCATGAGTCCCCTCCCTCCCACTGTCAGTTCAGCAAGCACCTGCTGAGGGTGGGGCATATGTGGGGCTCCAGGTGGATACAGCAGGTGCTTCCAGGGAGCTGGCTGCCAGACTGCAGGTCACATGGTACAGCTGGATTGCCCCAGGGACAAAGAGAGAGCTACTCCCAGGCAAATATCAGAATCCACCCCTGGGGCTGAGGTGCCAAGTGAGCTGGGAGAGGAGTTGGGTAAGTGCAGATGGATAGGAGGAAAGATGTGAGTGCTCAGGGAGGCCTCGGGGTGCCGGGGATGGGCTGCCTTCTGGGGGCCCCCTTGTAGCTTCATGTCACTGTTCTCCCCACTCCCCCTGCTGCCGTCCTGTTAGGAGGAGAGGACTTCTTGCTTGAGACCCTCCCCTGTAACCATGCAGGACAGATTTTGTAGCTCCTGGCTGATTCCAAACATGGGGCTGCAAGTGTCGATCACGTGTGGGCACACCTGCTCCCCTACCCCACCCCTGACCCCTGGCTGTGTTTGTGTTCTGTTTCAGCCACCGAAACCCTTTAGTCCGGAAGTGCACCGCTGAGCACCTCTTGACTGTCCTGGAGCAGATCGGTGCCGAGAAGCTTCTGTCGGGCACGCGGGATAGCACGGACACACTGGTGCACAACCTGGTGAGGCTGGCCCAGGACTCCAACCAGGACACCAGGTAGGGCAGGGCCAGGGGCCAGGGGCCACTCAGCACTCTGCGGTCCAGCATCCCCAAAATGAGGAGGGACCATGAGAGGGACAGACATGACAACCTCTCCTTGCAGCTGTCATCCACCTCCCTCCCACATCATGGCCAAGGCGGGATGCCTCGTTCACCCTTGTTCACCTTCCATCCCACCTCCACCCACTGCATTGCTGCTCTTCCTTTTCCCCAGCCAGCCACATGCTGTTAGACCCGTCATTTTTAGAGAGAGATATATAGAGAGAGGCTTCAGGAGCATGCATTTTGCTATTATTGCTACTGCAGTGAATAAGAAAAATCAAACCCCTATTGTTTTGGAGCTTACCTCCTGGCAAGGGGAGACAGGTCATAAAGAAGCCATTAGGATTTTAGATCCAGAGAAGGGATAGGAAGGAAAAAACCAAGATGCAGTGACAGATGGTGTCGGGGCTGAGGGTTGGGGCAGATCATTTTGAAAGAATGAGGCTTGAGCTGAGGACTGAATGACCAGAGAGGATCTGGGGTCAAGACACCAGGCAAAGGGGGTGGCACAAAAGCCCCAGGATGGGCACCAGTGTGGCCAAGGAGTAGGCCAGTCAGGTAGATGGAGCAGGGGAATGGGCAGTGGCAGGTAGCTCCCCTGAGGTTGTGCACCTGACCTTGGATTTGGACACCTAATCACCACTTTGGTTTGGATGTGAGTGAGGCTCCCCCATGGCTGCTGAGGACCAGCCGGGCTCCAGGGGCCATGCCTACATTGTGAGGTGTAGGGCTCCAGGGGTTACATGTGGCAGGCTTCATGTCCACAGATGCGCCTGGAGGGGTGCAGCTATGTAACCCTCCCACCTCCCAACCCGCCTCCCGCTTCACCATTGTGAAGGGCACAGCCAAGGCCTGCCATTGGTGCCCCTGGCCCCATGGGAAGGTGTTTGGCAGTTAGCCCAGAAGCAGTGTGGCACCCAGATCCACCACCTGCATGGCTGTGCCACCATGCAGCTCTCCCTGCATCTCTGCACCTCTGTCCATCCAACTGACAGGTAAAGGCTTCAGCTCAAGGCACTTTCCCAGGTTCCCCCCCTTGCTTACTGACTATGAGTGTCTTTCTCTCTTGAGCAGCATTTCTGATGAAACAAAATCTTTTGTGGGGTGGTGGAGGGGAGGACGTGGGAGCTGACGCTCTGATGAGGAGGGTAGCAGGTGGCTTAGGGTGTGTTTTGAAGACAGAGCCAACAGGATGTGCACAGAGAAGCTTTTGAAGAGGATTTGAGGTATTTAAACCAACCCCGGTGTGAGCACAGTGCCCGTGGCTGAAAGCCGAGACAGCCGTGGAGAAGCTGCTAGGCTGGCGTTAGATTTTCAGGAGGAAAGTGGAGGCAGGACCCACTGGCCCTCCGACTGGCATCCTTCTGCGGTCTGACCTTCTTCTCCTTTCAGTGACGTTTGCTACACTTCCTTTTCCTCCCCTGAACCCACAGCTCTGCCTCTCGCACTTGTCCTGTCCTGTCAGTGTGGAGGTGGCTGCCCTAACACCTTTCACTTCTTGTGGCCCCGGTCATCCGTGGGGCTCTGATGCCTTCTGGCTACTCTCCACAGCTCACACCCTCATCTGGGCATCGGCGCTGCATCCGCAGTACCACCCTGGACCCAGCAGCCACGTCCTACTGTCGTCTTCAGAGCAAAGTGTCCCTTAAGGAGCTCATTGCCTGTCACCCAACCACCCAGGATGCTAAGTGGGAGTTCCCACACTTCAACTGGTCTGAGACACGTGAATGTTCAAAGTAGTGTGTGTCTGACAGTCAGAAGTGTCCCACAGTTGCTGGTGAACGGGCAGCCACTATCATTTGGGGTTGACTCCACAGAAGGGCCAACTTGGCCGTTGTTGCTCACAGCGTCAACTTTTGAATTCCATCTCACACTGAGGAAACTATAGGATGAGCCTTTCTCTGCTTGTCAACTCTTGGTTTATTTTAAAAAGGCATTTTGGGGAAAAAAAAAAAGAAGGCATTAGGCATTTTGCATGCTCCTTGGAGAATTGCTGAGTTTGCCATTTCAAACATCTTAAAAATATTCCACCAGCATTTGACGTTGAAATGAAAGGTTACCGATCTGAGAAAAGGCATAAAAACACAGCACAGGCATCTACTAGGCATCAGTAGGGCAAACTTAATTGTTGAATGAATGGGTACAGTTTCACATTAACCTTGCAATATTCATGACCTTGACCCGACCTAAGGGAGGAAAAATATCCATGTGGTGTGTGAAAGGATTGCCTTCCTACACGGGGGAGCATCATGGAAGATGGTGGAAGTTGCCAAGTTTTTTTTAAGTGGGAGATAAATGGTATATAATCAATGGAGTCATAGGTTGGATGAACTATGATAATTCTAGATGCTTCCTGCTCTGCCTCTGGCTGCCAGATCCTACAGTTTCAAGCCTCTGGCAGTTCTGACCTGCCCTTTCTCATCCACACTCTGATGCCTTATTTCAGATCTTTATCACTCCTGTCCTGGACTGGCCGGGTGGCCTCTGGGTCTCCCTGCCCGTAGCCATGTGCCCACCAGTGCATTGTCCACTGCTGCAAGGCTTGTTGACCAACAGGCAAATCAGATCACCCCTCAGTGTCCCCCTGCCTGAGGGCTGAGGCCTGACTCCTTCAAGCCTTGCTGAACATGCACTGCCTTTTTCTGCAGCTGTGCCCTTCCTCTGCCCAGCCCCTGCCCACTGGTCTCCAGCCACATCCTGCTGGCATGTTGAATTGTGTCATGACCCTGGAATGGCTCTTCTCCTTCTACTTCCTCCCCATATGTGAATTCCTACTCATCTTTTGAGTCCCAACCCAAGGCTCATCTCTTTTATGAAGCCTTCCTTTCCTTTTGCTAACGGGATTCTGGCTGCTGTAAGTTCTTCCATGACTAGTTTGAAGTTTGAGATTTAAGGTTGGAGACAGCATCCCAGGCTTCCTTGCGGGAGTGAGGGCCGTGGGCAGAGCAGGAAGGCAGAACTGTCATGAGTTCAGAGGCTGTTTCCTCTTCCTGCACTTCCTCTGATGGCAGGTTCTACGGCCGGAAGATGGTGAACGCCCTGATGGCTAACGCCAAGTTTGATGCGTTTCTGAAGCAGTCCCTCCCATCTCATGACTTGCGGAAGGTCATGGCAGCCATTAAGCAGTGGGTGAGTTGCTGTGGGAGCGAGTGGGTTGTGGGCTTTTGGGTTTGGTGGATTGGAACGGAGCCTGGCAGCCCTTGAGTGGGTCAGGGGAGTGAGGAGGGTATGCCAGACGGCTTTCATTTCACCCGCTCTGCCTGGCAGCTAGGGGGAGTGAGAGTCCGTCCTCTCTGTTTACACTTGGTCTCCTCTTGTTGCTTGTGTCCCTGGAGCCTCCCAGAGCTTCCACAGCTTCATGTGTCGAATGGGAGCTTTGAGCTCTGCCCTCGATCCTTCTGGGGTTCTGGGGGTTCTGAAAGGGTGCGAGTGCTCTCCTGGGTGGGAGGGGGTGTTCTCAGAGAGGCACGCTGTTTGGTTCATGTTCTGTCTGTGTTTTTCAAGGGAACGGAAGACAGTGATGAAGTCCCATCCGCCAAAGGGCGCAAGGTGTCCCGGAGTCTGCTGGCGTATGAGAACGGGATGCCCATGGAGGAGGGGTATGGCCACTCTTGTCGCTTCGTGCTCCATGTGCAAGGCTGCCAGTTGAGGCATGCTCTGCTTGCCCATGGCCAAGGGTAGCCCCAGAGTGGATGTATGCATCCAGGTCGTAGCTGAGTCCCAGCGGGGTCTGTAGTTCTAAGGGATGTATCCAAGGGATGTGTTCCCCTACCCAAATCTTAAAGAAACCAAACCCAGCGTTGAGGAGCATCTGCCCGCATTGAGTTGGTTCCTGCAGTCTTAGCGGAGGGGTTATAGTCCTACTGCTCTGGGCAGGATGTATTGTTAGTTGGGCTTTTGTGTGAATGGAGCCTTTCTCATACCAGCAGATCCTTTAACCCCTGTGGTGGTTCAGAGGCAGTGCTGGAGCTAAGATGGAGGAGAAGGCAGGGATGGAGGAGCTGAGAGCCACCGGAAAGCAAGTGGGAATCCCTTGTCACCCTAATGCTAACGACTTACACCCTCTGCGGTGTCCCAGGAGGACCCATCTGGACTCCCCAGCAAGGCACCAGGGGAAGCCCTCCTTCCACCCTTCAGTGGAAATTTCCTGAACTCTCCTAGTCATGCTCCCTGCCCTTCAGCATCCTCCCTTCTGCTGTGCCTTTGCTTGCGCCTGATGCCTAGGCTAGAACATGCCTGATGAGTCTGCGAGATTTAGTGCCCCCTTGGCTCTCTCCCAGAAGCTTCCTTGGGCCCTTGGAGCCCTGCTGGTCTTGGGGTGCACATACGGTCCCCTGTTCTTCGTATCCCATCACTCCAGCTGACTTCTCTCCCTCTCACTGCTCTGTGAACTTGTTCAGCAGAGCCTAGGCCTGCATCTCATTGTTCTCAGGGACCAACCCAGCTCTTGACACGCAGGAGGCCAAGAGTAGACTGCAGGAATTGAGTGGCAGAGAGGTATGGGTAGGCTGTGAGCCCCAGCAAGTGGTGGGACCACTCCCCCTCCCCAGGTGGTCCATGCAGGGATGCTCTCACCTGGGCTGAGAGGGGCCGATGCAAAGGAAGCAGGAAGCATGCCACGGGAGGCATGTGAGCAGGGCCTTGGCTGCCTGGGCTCAGGAGGAGGTGAGCACCAGGCAGAAAGTGTGCAAGAGGGCCTGTGAGCCCATTCTCCATCGTAGGGCCCGTGTGCACCATCCTCTCCTCTCACTCTGCTCTGTCCCTCTTGTTCTGCTGGTACTTTCTGAAAAGGGAGGGAGAGAGACAAGGAGCCAGGCCTCTCCCTTGAGTGAGAGAGTGTCCCTAGGCCATCACATGGTTGTCCCCTGAGGACAAGAGAAGCCCCAAGCTCCCAAAGGGGATGTCCAGTGTCTCCCAGCAGCAGGTGGAAGAAAAGCTAGGGATGGACTAAGCTGCAGGGGGACAGTGTGTCTCTGCCCTGTACTTGGAAAGGGCTAGGGGACAAGAGGTGACTTCATCTCCAAAGTGGGGCAGGGTCTTCCCCAGGGGACAGATGCTTCTCGCACACAGGCTCAGCTCCAATGACCCACGCCTGGTGGGGCTGCGCTCCTCTGTGAGGGGTGGCACCGAGAGAGTGGAGCAGCTCCGGGAGCTGATGCGGTTGCTGGAGGCCAAGGAGTACCAGTCCCGGATGGACGGCGTGGGGCGGCTCCTGGAGCACTGTGAGACCAAGCCGGAGCTCATCACGGCCAACCTGATGCAGGTGAGGCCTAGCCGGCCCTGACTCCCACTGCCCTCCTGCCTGTCTCCCCTGGGGTGGGGGAACAGGGGGGGCAGCTCCAATTTAGAAGTCTCAGAAGACAGTAGCTGGGCATTGTGCCAGGTCTCTTGGGACTTAAGGCACTCAAGAAGCACATTTAGGCTACCTGAGGAGGCTGGTGCTGTGGCATAGCAGGACAAGCCATCCCTGTAATGCCAGCAACCAACATGGATGCCAACTCATGTGTCAGCCACTCCACTTCCGATCCAGCTCCCTGCTAATGCACCCAGGAACAGCAGCGGAGGCTTTGGGGACCTGCTTCCCACACGGGAGAGCTGGAAGACGCTCTGACTTCCTGGCTCTTGGTTCCAGCCTGGCCCAGCCCTGGCTGTTGTGGAATCTGGGGAGTGGAACCAATGGATGGAAGATCTGTCTCTCCTCTCTCTCTCTCTCTCTTTGTAACTCCAACTTTCAAGTAAATCCATAAATCTGGTTTTAAATTTATTTTTAAAATTGAAAAGTCAGATTAACAGAGAACAGGAGAGGCAGAAAGATCTTCCATCCGCTAGTTCGCTCTCCAAGCAGCCGCAACACTAGAGCTGAGCTGATCTGAAGCCAGGAGCCAGGAGCTTCTTTAAGGTCTCCTATGTGGGTGCAGGGTTCCAAGGCTTTGGGTACAGGGCTTTCCCAGGCCACAAGCAGGGAGTTGGATGGGAAATTGAGCAGCCAGGATTCAATATGATGCCCATATGGGATCCTGGCTTGTGCAAGGCGAGGACTTCAGCCACTAGGCTACCGTGGTGGGCCCAAATAAATCTTTTGTTTTAAAGATTTATTTTATTAGAAAGTCAGAGGAGGATAGACAGAGAGGAAGATCTTCCATCTGATGATTCACTCTCCAAGCAGTTGCAAAGGCCGGAGCTGGATGGGAAGCAGGGCTGCTGGGATTAGAACCAGAGCCCATATGGGATCCTGGAGCATTTAAGGCAAGGACTTTAACTGCTAGGTCACGGTGCTGGGCCCCAAACCCATAAATCTTGAGAAAGAAAATAAAGACTGCTTGGGGCAGCTGAGGGGCCAGGCTTTCTCCTGGGCACCTTGGAAAGTCTCTGAGATGCTCTGGACCTCCTGTTCCTCTGCAGGGTTGATGACGAGGAGGGCTTGGAGCCAGCAGCCCTGGGTGGTCATGCCAGTCTCTTACTGGCTGTGTGATCTGAGGCAAGTTGCTTGGCCTTTCCCAGCTTCAGTTGTTGTCTGTGAGGAGATAGGGTGATAACTCAGGCCTCATGGTTTGCTAAGGTGGCTCAGGGCAAGGGTGCAGGGCACCTAACCAGGTGCCCTACATGCAGTGAGGGCCTCGTGCTCACTCCCACTTTTGGGACAACAAGTTGCGCATCCCTTGGACTGTTGTGGCAAACACTGGAGGACTTCTCTCCAGAATGCCAAGGTGCTTGCCAGAGCAGGGTGGGCTCCACGTGCCTGGTGCTCTGGGACTCCTGGCTAGCTTGGATACCCATGCACTTTTGGTGTCTGTTCCCTCCCTAGGTCTTCGATGCCTTCACACCAAGGCTTCAGGATTCCAACAAGAAGGTGAACCAGTGGGCACTGGAGTCCTTTGCCAAAATGATCCCCATCCTCAAAGGAAGTTTGCACCCCATGCTGCTGTCCATCACGGTCGCTGTTGCAGACAACCTCAACTCCAAGAACTCAGGGATTTCTGCCGCCGCTGCCATCGCACTGGATGCCATGGTCCAGAACCTGGGTGAGCTGCGGGGCTCCCGACTCCCACAGCCTCCTGCAGCAGAGTGGCCAACTGCCCTGAGCAGTCTCCAGACAAATGTTGCCCTCGAGGCTTCGTTGGGCAGAACTGGCACCCTAGGGCTTCAACAGCTCTGGCTGGCAGGGTTTTCCACGGCCAGACCACCCATGCATCCAGACCACTTGGAAGTGGATGTGAGGTAGAGATGGCCTGGCCTAGCTTCATTGCCGCATGAGGAAGGTGATGGAACCTTCTCTCTTTCCAGGGCTAGATTAGGTGTGCTGGGAGGGCCCAAGAAGGTCAGAGCTTGGGGTGCAGGGTTTGTGGTGAAGGGTGGGGAGGGCAGAGGGAGTAGAGGGTGGGAGAGGAAAGAGCAGAAAGAGGGAGGTCTGGAGGAGACATCAGGAAGGGCGAGGAAATCCCTGTTCCTCAACCTGCTTTTTGAGCGTTAGGGAGAGTTTGTGCAGCATCTACTCCTGTCCTTCCTGTTGTTGTTGTTGTTGTTGTTGTTGTTGTTGTTGTTGTTGTTTTGAATGTGTATACTGCTGTTCTGGATGAAACATTTGCACTTTGTTTCCCCAAAGATGTATATTATTTATTTGAAAAGCAGAGTGACCCAGGGGGAGAGAAAGAGAGTACTTCTATCTTCAGGTTCACTCCCCAAACGGCTGCAATGACTGGGGCTGGGCCAGGAGCCCAGAACCAGGAGCCTAGAATGCCATTTAGAGTCCCCCGTGGGTGGCAGGGTCTCAACTGCCAGGGCCATCTTCTGATACCTTTCCCTGCACATTAGCAGGTGGCTGGATCAGAAGCTGAGCAGCTCGGACTCAAACTGGCAGTCTGATATAAGATATTGGGGTTGCAGGTAGCAACCTGACCTACTCAGCCACAGTACTGACTCCTCTCTTATTCCTTTCATGGGTGACTAGAAGGTGGCATTTGGCAGATCTATTCATAGAGGAAAGTGCAAGCTCAAAACTTCAGGTGTGCTGTGATAATAGAAGTGAGTCCAGACCAGGGGAATGGTGGATTTTCACAAATAAGTTGTGAGGAAGCTTCTGGTTGAAAAATGGCTTTAGTTACCTTGTTGCGGATATCTTGGTGAGCAGCCCTAAGTGTCCTGGTGAGGCTGGAGGCTGGAAACACCCCCTGGTACATTGTGCCCCCACACCCTGGCCCAGGGCCAGCACCCCGAGGCTGGGACAGCTGCCTCGTCCTTGGCTGGAACCTCCAGGAGGAGTTTTGGTTACAAATCAAAGGCCTGGTCAAACCCTTCTCTGCTCTGGAGTTCATAAATATTGTCAATTTCCGCATTTCATCTCAGAGGGAATTTATGATTTGCTGAGTTTGTTGCTGTAGAACAAACAATATAAATCCCATTCTAAATTACAGCTTGTTCTCCGTGCTGCCTGGGTAAGTGAGATTGCTGTTGCCAATAACCAAGGCTTTGGTAAATCACTGCGGGCCCTGGATTTATTGGGAAAACTTGTACCAAGCAAAATAGGCTTTAGCTATTTGAAGAGGATAAGCACCCACACCTGGGGAAAGGGATTTTTAACTCTTCCTCTTCTCGCTGTTTCAGTTTCCGGTTCTCCTTGATCGTGGTAGGGCTGTCTGGAGCTTTGGGCAGCAGAGCCTGATGTCTTACATTGCTGTGAAGTTGGCTCCCCTCCATAACGTGGAGAGGAGGGTGAGTGGGATGGCTGGTCCTTCACTGGTTGCTATAACAAAATACCTGAGACAGAGCAATGTAGAGAAAAGAGGTTTCTTAAGCTCCCAGTGCTTGAAGTCCCAGAACACTTGTTTTGACTTGGCCCTGGTGAGGGTCTCTCGGTGGTTGGAGGCACATGGGACACAGGGACACAGGGACACAGGGACACAGGGATCCAGGGCTCAGGGCCGTGGGAACAGACTCACTGTCACAGTACAGCAGGATCCCATTGGGCAGGTGAGGCCTCCAGGGACCTGATGACCCCACTTCTTAGAGTATGTGCCACTTCCCAATATTGTTAATGTTGAGACCAAGCAGCCAACATGTGAGCCTCAAAGAGGGAAAAACACATTCCAGCTACAGAGGTCTGGCTGTGCCACAGTCAGGGTCGCACCTGCCAGGACCAGGCCTATGTTTTCCATTTCTTTGGATGTGGCTCATGATGCCTTACCTGGTCCAACCTCCAAGGACTTGGATGCAGGGAGAATGGAGCAGGTGTGAGGGGTAACTGTCTTCCTGTGTAACACTGAGGTAGGTGCTCAGGCTTGGAGGGAATAGGAGGATTTGGTCTTCAGGGGATGCATAGAGTTTGATACATCCCAGGCAGGGGGATCCTGTGGAACCACATGAGGAAAGGCACTGCCTTGGCTCTAGGTCATTTTTGCCGGTGTGATCATGAGCTTTCCCATGAGTCACATCCTCTCAGTTCAGCCTGCAACCTTGGAATTGAAAGTGCTATCTGTGTGGTGACAGCTGGTTGCTACCTCCATGCAGGTCAGAGCCAGGATGCTTCTCACCTGCTGGCGTGGCCTGAATCTGGCTCGCAAAGGCTGAGGTGCGTGCATGTAAGGAAGCCTCCCACAGTGCCCACTAAGCAGGGGTCTGGATGGGTGGTGGCAGCAGAACTGGCTCAAGGGGCAGTGGCAGTGGCCTTCCCAAGCCATCCAAGTTGAGCCTGGTGGTCTTAGTGGTTCCTTGGTTGGAGTCGGGGGAGGAGGGCAGAATTATTGCCCTGTAGCCCCCTTTGGAAATGCTTGGAATCCTTTGATGGGAAAAAATTTCTCCAGAGCTTGCTTTCTACGCCCCTGGGATTCTAGGCTCCAAGAAGTCACAAAGCAACTGCTTAGCCAGTCACAGGGTTTTCTGCTAACTATGGGATCAGAGACCAAGAATGGTGCCTGGTCAGGCTGTCTTCTGCCATGGAGCCCAGACAGCCCAGACCATCCAAGATGCTGGCCAACTCAGGTGACCTCTGCCATTCCTTCTGGATTCTGCAATGTGGTGGTGGACCCATTCACCAAAGTCATTGTCTTGGACTTGTTCTTTGTTCTCTTTAGCATGGGTGAAGTTGAGTGCTGTGTTTGTCATGGAATGGGTGGGGGCTTTGGTCCATGTCCCCTTTGGGAGTGCTGAGGAAGGAGAAGTGTTGGGCAGCTGTCTGCCCATCACTGCCTGCCTTGGGGGCTGTCTGATAGCATCTAGACCTGCGGAGTGCAGGCTGATTTCTGCTGGCAGCCTGCCGGCCCTGTGGCTGGGTTAGCTATGGGAGGACCCACACTAATGAAAGCGTCAGGCTGCCGACAGCTCATCCCCTCTGGGTCAGACCACCAGTTCAGGCTGCTCAGGGCCACTAGACACTCTTTTAATTGAGTCTAGCTTCCAGCCAGTGCTGGGGACAGCAGATAAGCTTGGAATGGGGGTGGCTTCAGGTCCAATTTCACTATTTTGCTGTCTGATTTTAAATTCATTGCTTTGCATGAATCATACTCTCAATATCACATTGTTAGTTGAATTAAAAAACCCATCCTTGATGCCTCTTCAACATAGCAACTGTTTAGAAATATGTCATTTTTCTATTTCTTATCTATCAGTATACAAATTTCCCTAGTGAACAATTGTAATGTACATGTAATTCTGACTTTGGCTCTTTCATTTAACAATAGTCAGTTTCTTATGTTATTTTGCAGTCTTCCACATGACACCATGTATTCTTTTAAGTTAACTAAGAAATATAAAGTTTACTTTCTGTTACTGTAAAAGCCATACTTATTGGGCTGGCAAAACAGGCTAATCCTCCACCTTGCAGTGACAGCCTCTCATAAGGGCACTGGTTCTAGTCCTGGCTGCCTCACTTCCTATCTAGCTCCCTGCTTATGACCTGAGAAAGCAGTGGAGGATGGCCCAACACCTTGGGTCCCTACACCCACAGGGGAGACCCAGGGAAACCCCTGGCTTCTGCCTTTGGGTCAGCTCAGCCCCAGCTGTTGTGGCCTCTTGGAAAGAACTCTTTTTTCTCTCAGTCTCTCTTCTCTGTAAATCTGCTTCTCAGATATGAAAAATTTAAAAAAAAAATGTAGTTATTCAAGTATTGAGAAAATGGAAAATACAAAGCATTTGGAAGGAAGAAAACTCTTCTAATAACTTCTAGCTCCTTAAAAACATTATTTATATTTGTGATGCAATTTTTAACATTTTAATTATTTTTAAATTTTTATTTTTTCAAAGTGTTTGTTTTGGTCATTGTCGTTTTTAATTCAGAGTCAGGGAGATTAGGAGAAGTATCTGCTGTTTTATTCCCCAAATGTTCACAGCGACCCTGGGCCAGACCGGGCACCAAGTGTGGTACCTTGGACTCAATCAATGTGAATGGCAGGAATCCAATTTCTTGAAGCATCACTGTTGCTGTAAGGAGTAGGGTACTGTGCCCAGGTAGCTAACTGCTAGGCCCAATGCCTGCCCCTCATTTTACTTTTTTTTTTTACTAGATTTTTTTTTTCTGTGTTTCTTTGTGTGCTTGGTTGTAGCATTAAATGTGTGAATTTGCGTCCTGCTTTTAAAAAAAATCAGAGTGTGAGCATTTACACTTGAATTATTTTGAACAGTCATTTCATTGTGATGTGCCAAAAATCATGAATTTCAGTGCAGGTGGATTCCCAGTTTTGTCCCGAGTTGCACAGACGAGGCAGCTACTGAGGAGCCAGCTATGACACATGTTGTAACTTTCTGAGTCTTGCTTGTTGCTGAGGGTCCAGTTGGACTCTTGTGTCTTTGCTACTACCGTCTGTACTATGTGGTTTTCAGTTTCTTAAAACCTCATCTCTTGTTTCCCATGACCTGAGGGCGGTGTGGTCTAGTGGCCTGGGAGTTTGGTTGAATAGGAAATGCCAGAGCCTTGTGGCCCCCTGCCCTGTGGACAGAGGAGCTGGAGCCCAGGGAAGGGGGTCTCCAGTTTGCTACTGGTGGCTGTTTCCACTCTGTTGCAAGGCTTTGGAAACCAGCTCATCAATGCAGGGCTGGTCTGGACTTCCTTGTGTGGTGCCAGAGGAGCCAATGGAAACTCCAGGGAAGGCTGGGGGACCTGTCTGGTCATTTCCACTGGTTAGATTCCAGCCTCTTGATTGGTCTCTCCAATGTGGAACTTTGAGATCATTCCAGGGTAATAACAGTAGCATTGATGGTTGATACTCACGACAGTCCTGAGACACTGACCTAAGCATTATGAAAACTCCTTTAACTATCACAGCATCTTCAGAACAAAGGTATTCATCCCATCCCTGTTCCATAGAGGGGTAAACTCAGGCAGAAGGGGACAAAGTGGTTTGTCTAACCTCACACAGAAAAGCTAGGGTTCAAACACAGGTGATTCACAACCTGCCCACTTGCTGTGTTATCCGTCACCCCCTCTGCATGTGACCCAGCAGTGACTCAGCAGGGCAGCTTTTGCTGCGGGAAGGCAGTCCTGGTGCTCTGGGATCGATAAGCCAGCTGGGGCCTACCGTGTCTCTGTAGGGTCCCACGACTTTGGGCAGTACTCTCCTGCTTTCCCAGGCCACAAGCAGGGAGCTGGATGGGAGGTAGAGTAGCTAGGACATGAACTGGTGCCCCATATAGAATAGCAGCACAAGGGTCCTTGGCAGGTGCCAGGGCATCCCCAGGGCATCCCAACCTGAAGCAGACAAGCGTCTGTGGTTGTTAAGTTTCCTAGTCTGTGGTGGTCTGCTCTAATAGCAGAGAACAGATTGAGACCTTAGGACGCTGGGCTGGGGCCGCCTTGGTGACATTTGTGCAGGCCTCCCATCCTCCTCTCTCTGACAGGTGCAAAGAGACCCCAAGACCTCATTCCTAAACAATGATGTTCTCTTACTTGCTCTGCTTCCCACTGATCTAGGCTGCGACTGCTGGGGTTGTAAAACACGGGCAGGCAGGTGTGCTGGGACCGCTCCCCCGCCCCGCCAGCCAGTCATGGCAGGGACAACATGGATGTACAAGAACATTCCGGTCTGGAGCATTTCCTAGGGTAGCTCAGCTTGCCTGAAAAGGGCAAGGCTTGTCTGTATGTCCTTCTGAGGAAGGCACAGCTTCAATCTTAATGATTGGAGAATGTGTGGGAAGGAGGGGGTGGCGTCCCAGTCCGGGGCAGGTGGGGTCCTGTGGAGTTGACTATGGAAACACATCTGGCTGCTGAAGGGGTCCTTTACCTCAGAACCTCCACTCCCTGCTGGCCGTGGCTGTCCTGTTGGTGACGCCTCTCTGCTAATCTGTCAAGATTCCAGTGTGGAAGCATTCCGTCCCGGCCTTCAGTCCAGGGCTGGCTGGGTAGCTGGGTGAGCTGTGCTCCTGGGGTTGGGGTGTGTGGGAAGGCACTGGGATAATTCAGGAAAAAGAGGTTAAACATTCTTCTAACCTTCAGCCTTCTAAGAGGTGAATTGGGGCAGATGGAGAAAGAACTTTGCTGGCTGCAAGTCTGTCAGTGCTGGAGCCTGGGTATCAGACTGGGGTTCAAAACCAAAGAGAAATCAGGCCAGGCTGGGAGGTTTTCTATTTGTCATTGAGAAGTAATAAATGCCCTTGATGCACACCTCCCTCCTCTTACTGTCTTCCCGCCCCCCTCCTGACCCCCAACGGGCTGGCAGGTGCCTCTGCTCCTGGTGATGAGCCATCATCCAGGGATGCAGGGGCTAAAGGAACAGGCCTGGCGGGCCAAGATGAGTCGCCCACCCTGGCTTCAGGCCCCAGGTTCGGTTTCCTGAACACACTGGCTCCCACCCTTGTCAAGTCCTTGTCAGAGGAGCCTCTTGAGGTGTGGAGGTGGGGACCTCGACTTATTTAGTTCCCAGCTCAGAGCCTATGACAGAGAGTGTGGGTGAGTTCCAAGTGAGGAGGACACACAGTCCCTTGGCGTGGGCATGTCCTATTGGTTAGAACCCAGGGCAGGCTTTGAGGGCAGCCAGTGCCTAACCTGGTGTGTACATGGATCAGTGCCTCCAATTCCCTTGAAACCACATTTGCATATGTACATATTCATGTCTCTATCCATCTAAGCAACATCTGTCTCCTTTGTCTTTTATCTAGCGATCACCTATCTGCACATTCATCCATCATCTTTTCCATCATCCACTGTTTTTATTATTATGTGTCAATCATCTGTCTACCCATTCATCAATGTCCTTATTCATCTATCATCTCTTTATTATTTTCTATGTATCCACCCATCTCTTCCATCATCCATGCCTTTCACCTATTATTTTTAAATCCATCCATCTCTTCCTTCTTTTTTTCCCCTCCTTCTCTCTCTCTCTCTCTCTCTCTCTCTCTCATGCGTCTGCCCTGTTTGAGGAGCAGACAATAGGAATCAGATCTGTGGCAGGAGCTGAGGCCGCTTGATAGTCAGTTAATTTCAGGTCACTCCATCTTCCCCAGCACCACACACGCATTTGCTGTTTCGTGCGGCTCCAGTGTGACCTGGATCAGTGGATGTGTTCCCAGGTTGGGCCACCACTCTGTGCAGGTGCTGTGGGCAGCTGCCCTGGGAGCACCGGGGGCTGTGGTCTGGCCCCCAGCCTCGTGGTCACTGATGCTGTCTTTGTTGCAGACCATCTCTGCCTTCTGCAGACGTTCGCGGGGCGGGTGCGTTTCCTGAGTGGCCGAGCGGTGCTGGACATCACGGAGCGCCTGGCAGGTGAGCACCACGTCTACCCCTGACTGTGGCTTTCCAGTTTCTTTCTGTACCTCTCTCTGTCATGTGGCCATGCCACCCGCTTGTCTGCGATTTGAAATAATCCCCAAAGGCCATTTCACATTTTTGATAGCTCACTTTTTCAGATTTATAGTATTTGAGAGACACAGAGAGAGAACTCTCATATTCCACTCTCCTCATGTCTGAAATGGTCAGGACTGGGTTAGACAGAAGCCAGGAGCAAGGAACTCAGTTGGTCCTCCATATGGGGAATGGGGAATCCAATTACTTGAGGTATCCCCTATTGCTGGTCTGCATTACCAGGAAGCTGGAGCTGGGAGCCAGAGCCACAGTCCAACCCAGGCACTCCGGTGACGACTGTGGGCATCTCAGAACTAGGTCAAGCTCCCGTGGTCATGATCGGCTTTATTTTGATTTATTTATTGGTGATAAGTCTACATTGCCAGAAGAAAATCTTTGTTTTGGTTTGGATGGGGATTGGTTTTGTGCACCTTCCCCTGGCCCACAGAGCGCCTCTGTGTGCATCAGGGGAGGCTGCCCCTTCCAGGTGGAGGGCCCTTAGAGGATGCGTGCCTTGGTCAGTGCCCAAGACTGTGGCTGCGGCTGCAGTGCCCTTGGCCCTGCCCAGAGCGGGGTTGGGACTACATAAGGCTGCTTCAGCAAGTTCGTGGGAAAACACAAGCAAAAGATGGAATTCTTTGATACAGAAACTTCTGAAATGCATACATTCCGGTGTCCCGGGGAGCTGGGTCCTTGGCCGTGGCTCCAGGCATCAGCGGAGGAAAGGACTCTCCCACCCTCCTCCTGCTTTGCCTCGAGCACGGTCATCGCAGGCCGAGAGCTGCTCCCTCTGGTGGCAGCGCCGGGAAGGACGCGGGCTCGGTTGCCGCCTCCAGCTCTAGGCGTGGGCGGTTCCCTAACTTAGTTTGATCAGCTTTCTAGCTAGCCCAAAGCAGCTCTTTGTTCCAGACCTCAGAAGGGTAGGGTCTTGGGTGGCCTGAGGCTGACTGTCTCTATGTCCAGGGCTGTGGGCGCGCCCCCTGAAACAGACCGGTCATGGCATCCTTCTGCTGGGATCCTTGCCGGGCTCCCAAGCTGTCTATAGGATGATGTCATAGTCTCCTGGAGGGCACACACAGGCCTGGATCCTTTTTTCCTGCCCAGACTTGCAGGCAGTGGATCCTGGAGTCCTCTTGACACCCCCACAAGGAAGACCCCCCAGAATGTCCTTTTTATAGAGATCAGAAAAAGGGAATGGGGAAGTGTCCCTTGGGGGCAATGTCGGATGTGAGCCAGGAGCTGCTGCAGAGCCACAGCCTCCGCGCTGTGTGCATGTCCCTGAGTGTCCTCTCCCCAGCCTCCCGGCGCCAGCCTGCAGCCCTCCCTGCTGTCCCAGCCACTCACCTGGCCTGTCCACGCGTGCTCCCCTGCCCACCAAGCCCTGCTGGGTGCTCTTCCTCTGACTCTGTGCACTTCTTAGGGGCACACCTCACAGAGGCATCCACCTATCCCCCCCAGTCACTGGCACCTCAGACACTCGAGTTGCTTGGCACACGTTCAAGGGAAGCAGTGGGGGAAGACCCCAGAAGGAGCCACTGGTGCTGAGGGAGCCAGGGCCAGACCCCACAAGAACGATTCTTTCTGCTTGAGACTCTTGGTCACTGCTGGGGTTGTCTCCACGGGGCATAGTCCTGCCTCTATGAGGATTACGACCCTTTGGCTTCTGAAGGACCTCTGCACGTTTCCGGGGGTGGGGCAACATAGGTTGGGATAAAGAAACCCTGAGGGGGTGGCCTTGCAACCCACATACGCACTCAGTGAGAAGTGCCACTACAAGAGCTCTGGGGTTGAGCAGGGACCCAGGTCGGCTCTGGCTTCTAACACTTTGGGTTGATCCTGAAATCAGAGGGGTCTTAGGGGCTCCCGGGGTGGGGGTTGGATACTGATAGCCTTATGAGAGAAGACAAATTGAGGGTTTCAAGCAAAACGCCAGGCCAGCCTCTGAATCTAGAGGTGCCCTGAGCTGAAAACAGCCATGAGGGGCTGGAAGCAGCTGGGTTCGGGGGTGGAGACTTAGTGTCTCTGCCTGTGAATCACACAGCCTCATTCTCAGCTTTGTTTGTCTTCACCTTGGCAGGACCACAGGCAGAACAGACTGCTTGGCAAGCAGGCATGGCTCACACCAACGCACATGGGGCAATGCGGCCACACCCCATGGCTGGCATGGTCCCCGTGTGGTGACCCAGCATAGCCCATGATGCTGGCTGCAGGTCCTCTGGCAATAGAGGGTTGGCTGGCAGGTGGAGCTGGCTGCTGGGTTCTCTGGAGTTTAGAGAGGTTGAATAACCCTTGCAAACCTAGGCTGTGATGAAGGGGGCAGGTCTGTGCAGAGCCTCAAGGCTTGTAACCTTGTGGCCTGCTGCTGTGCCCTGTGCGTGGCATCCCCAGAGGCTGGGAGGTCCCTGGTGGCTTTGTTCCCTGCCAGCTGCTTCCACCTGCCACGGCGCCTCACTGCGTCTTGACTTCCCTCTGTGGAACAGCGTGTGCCCGTGTGGCCTCTCACGCCTAGACTGTGATGTAGACCCATGCGACACACCAGCTAGTGTCGTCGCCTGCCTATCATGGCGCACAGGTAATGGGACTTCAAAAACCTCCCAGAGAAGTGGGATCAACAGAGAAGCTTATTTTATTGCAGATCAGGTTGAAATTCATGCACGTGAGGGGTCTTCATAAAGGATAAAAACACTGATTATACATTATTATTATTTTTGCACCAGAATAACTTTAATTCAGATTTCCCCAAATGCTTAAGAGGGCATGGAGTGGACAAAGTGTCTGCTTGAGGCTGGGAGAAGGGACGTGGGAGCTGAGCCCTGCTGCCCCCAGGCTCTGCATCAACAGGAAGCTGCGTCAGGCAGGACTTGAACGCAGCTGGGAACACGTGGGATGCGGATGCCTTGACTTCCGGGCAGGCCTTTTGAAGTACATGCATATGTATATATATATATATATACTTTAAATCAAATCTGTAAACATTTTCAGAGCTTGATTTGCGTTGAATTCCCTTTCTTGACAGCTTTGTGAAAGATTCAGAAAGATGGGGGTGGCTTGCTCAGGCATGCACAGCTGGCAGGCACAGTCAGGTTTGTCACCAGGTGTGGCTGCCTCTTGCCCCTGCGCTGGGCTTGCAGGAGCCTGTTGGGATCCTCACGTGGGTGGTGGTGGGCCAGCCCAAGCTGCTTCCTGCGTGGGCTCTGAATGGGCAGAGCTGCTGGCCTGTGAGAGGAGGTGCATGCCCTGCTCAAGTGCCCACCCCTGTTCTCTGCTCACCAGCGCTGGTGGCCTCGGCTTACCCACGGAAACCTCAAGCTGTGGAGCGCCACGTGCTGCCCGTCCTCTGGTACTTCTTGAACAACATGCTGGGGAGCGGCGTCTTGCCTGGACACTGTGGTAATGTGGGTGCAGTGGTACGTCGGCTGACCAGGAGCCTGTGGGAGCAGATGGGCTCCCGCCTGCAGGACGCGGCCACTGGCCAGCCGGAACATGTCCTCAAAACTCTGCAGGGACTCCTGGATGCCAGACCACCAGCAGGCAGCCGCAGGGTCATCAGCAGAGGGCTGCCACCGGACAGCAAGATGACAGGTAGCTGACGCACTGCCCCCTCAGCAGCTGGAGGAAGCCTGAGGCTGAAATGGGGCAATTCAGATTTCAATCTTATTTTTATGATGCTATAATCTCTTGGCCTGCTTCACCCCTCCCCATAGAGTTCCAGATGTATATAGTTTATTTTGAAGTAGAAATAAAAGAGATGCTTATTTTTCTAAGTTCTTTTCCTTGCACTTGAAAGACTATTTGTTCACATATTGGAGAAACAGGAATGCACACACACACACACACACACACACACACACACACACACACACACACACAGTATTCCGACCCACTGACTCCCAACCCAGAGAGAGAGCAAGAGGGCACTACAGTCTATTGGTCCACTCCCCAAGTGCCTGCAATGGCTGGGAGCCCGGAACTGCCAGCTGTCCCACTGGGTGGCAGGAACCCAATTCCGTGAGCTGCTGCTGCACCCCAGGGTCTGGCAGGAACCCGCATTCAGGAGCCGAGCCAGGAGTCGAGTCCAGGTCCTCTGATGTGAGATGTGGACGTCTAAACCACTGAGCTAAACACCCACTCTCATCTTCCTTTCTTCTCTCTCTTTCTTCCGTAAAGATTTATTTATTTACTTGAAAAACAGAGTTAGAGATAAAGAGAGAGAGAGAGGTCTTCCATCCACTAGTTTATTTCCCTATATGGTCTCAACTGCTAGAGCTGGGCTGACTTGAAACCATGGACCAGGAGCTTTGTCAAGGTCTCCCTATGTGGGTGTAGGGGGTCTAAGCAATTGGGCCATCTTCTCCTGCTTTCCCAGGCACATTAGCAGGGAGCTGGATCAGAACTGGAACAGCCAGGACTTGAACCAACACCTATATGGGATGCCAGTGCTGCAGGTGGTAGTTTTACCCGTTATGTTACAGGGTTGTCCCCCATCTCTTGAACATTTCTAACTTCAAGAGAATTTTCCAGTAGCTGGATTTGATGCCAACCAAAATAAAACATGAGAGCAGCAAAGCCAGTTGTGGGTCAGATGGAGGTGAAGAGCTGGGGAGATAAAGAGTCACCCCATTTGAGGGAAGAGTGCCCCATCTGTGATTAGGGGGGTAGCCCTCCAGGCCTCTGAGCTGTGATTCAAGGCCAGTGCAGTTATCGCTGGCATGGGGATGTTGTGTGCTTGAGCCCAGCCAGCTCAGCAGTGCAGCAGCCTGGTGCCGTGGGAACCTTCTGCCAGCACCTGCAGGCTCAGCGAGAGACAAGGCGCTGTTGACATCTTTGTGTCTGAATGTTTCCTCTGGACTCTAGAAGTTGCTATTCTGGCTGGTTCTGAAGGGGACTGGAGGACTCTTGACCCTTGAAGCATCCTAAGTGGAAACACTTGGAGGAGTACATAATGCCATGTGGTATACAGATGTCACACGGGCTCAGCAACAACAGCCCCCGGCTGCCACTGGCAGGTCATGTGGCTGCACTGGAGAGGGGGGGTGCAGAATGGGGAGGCAGGGAGCAGGGGAGGGCCTCTTGGGGAGCAGCTGGCAGAACAGCTCCTAGCAGGGGGACTTGAGATGTGGAGCTCAGGCTCTGGGCACAGTAAGGGTGGCTCTGCCTTGGCTGGGGCCAAGAGGGGTTAGTAGTGGTGTGAGCAGAAATGATTGGAGCTCAGGCCATGACTACAAATATGCGGGAGGTAGGTCTAGCAGGGTGCTGACTTCGGTGCAGCACCTTGGTCCTTGCCAAGAAACCTGCCTAGTCTGGTGACAGGTGCCAGTGAGTTTTCCGGCAGCGTCTGCCAGTGGCACCCACTCCATGGTCACCTGCCCCCAGGCATAACATTAGCTCCATGTCTCTTGCTCTCACCGCCATCTCCTCCTGTCCCCCCTCCCATCAGAAGAAGATCTGGGTGCTCCTCTCCCTTTGTGGCTGCTCCAGTCTGCCTCCTCTCTCCCGTTCTCTCACTAGCACTGCTGGAGGCAGAGTGCTTGGGCGCCGGCTGGAGCCAGCTTGAGCCAATGCACGGGACATGCCTGGAGTCCTGGGTGAGGCAGGGGACCCTGTGTTACCCACAAGCTCCAGGCAGTATTGCTGATGTGGGGGCCGTAGGAGACCATTCTGTGGGAATGGAAAGGGGCTCAGCTCTGATCACAAAGTCCTGACCTCTGATTCAGGATGCCTGTGGCTCTCAGATCAGATCAGCTTTGGCTACTGCACCATTTGGAGAGTGAACCAATGGATGGAAGATTCTCTCTTTCTCTGTGTGTGTGTGTCTGTCTCTCCTGCTCTCTCTATAAATTTGCCTCACAGATAAAAATAAATAAATCTCAATAATAATAATTCCAGGGCCAGCATTATGGCACAGTATGTTAATCAGCCACTTCAATGCTGGCATCCCATATGCGCACTGATTTGTGACCCAGCCACTCCACTTCTGATCCAGTTCCCTGCTAGAGTGTCTGGGAAAGCAGCAGGAGACGGGCCAAGTACTTGAGACCCTGTCACTCATATAGGAAACTCAGATGGAGTTTCCTCTGCCATTGCAGCCACTTGAATCAGCAAATGAAAGATCTCTTTCTTCCTCTCTGTTTCTCTCATAACTGTGCCTTTCCAAAAATGTTTAAAATAAATAAGTGGCCAGAGTTATAGAACAGCAAGTTAATCTACTGCCTGCCATGCTGGTATTCCATCTGAGTACCAGGTCAAGTCTGGGCAGCTCTGTTTCGAACCCAGCACCCTGTTGTTGCACCTAGGAAAGCCGCAGAAGATGGCTCAGTTGCTGGGGCCCTTGCTTCCAGTATGGCAGACTAGGAAGAAATTGCAGGCTTGGGCCCAGCCCTGGCTGAGATGGCGATTGGGTACTGAACCAACAGATACAAGATTGTTTTCTCTCGTGTGTGTGTGTGTGTGTGTGTGTAGCCTTTCAAATAAATTAAAATTTTACAAATAAATTAAAAATAGTTATAATAATCCCTTCTGTAAACCTCAATTATTCTCCTCAATTACTCCTTTCAGCTTTCAGAGAAAAAAAGTTCTCAGAGAACACCATGCAATCTCCTGTAGATCTGTCCTTCGGGAATAATCAGAATACCACTTACAGCAGGTGTTGGAACTACGGCTGAGTGAGAGCTTGCAGCCTCCTCTGCCGTTGGCTGGAGGAGGGCCTCGGCCATCTCTCAGGCTCATTTTTCTTTTTCATTTGTAAATGTTGCTAAAATAATACTTGGTTCATAATGTCATAGGATTTTTCCTCCTTGAATATTCAATGAAATACATGGATCATTATATTTGAAAGGGTGGAATGTGACCTACGGAGAAAGGATATCATTGTTATTGACCTGGCCTTGGCCTATCTCCTAGTGTAAGAGCTGCTGTTCAGGAGCCACCCAGGGTGTGTGTTGAGCACCTGTCTGACCGGCAGACCGTCTCTCTCTCTCTTTTTTTTACTTTTTTTTCTTTATTTTTGACAATCTTTACATAGTTAATTAGGGCAAAAAAGCTCAAGGGCTACAGGAAAGTGGGTAAGACTATTATTTCCACATTGTTTTCTTCATGTATCTGGGGTAAAGGGGGAGATAAAGGGAGAAGCCCCACCCAGTCTCCCACCCATCCCAGGTCCCGATGTGGGGCAGCATGTGCCAAGGGACTTGCTCAAGTGGTTTTGATAGTTCAACAGTTATGAATCGCTGCCAATCTCACCGTTCCAAGCACGATGAGGTCACTAAAGAATCCACTGATTGACATAGTCCATGATAGAGTCTCCGTTTGCCCAGTTTTTCACTGCCAACATATGGCTGAGGTAGTTGACTGACTTGTTCTGTCCTCTGTCTTTTCATGGTTAGGGTTCTGAGTCTGGCATTTTGATTGGGGAGATCTCCAAAGAAACTTTGTCTGAGGTGTTCCCAGACCAGATTCTTGTGTGTACTTGTAAGTACAGGGCTTGGTACAGCTCATTGCCCCGATCAGCTGGTGGTTGCAATTGCTGGGTCAGTTCTGTTTCCAGCCCCGACTTCGACTGGAACCAATGGGTATTGCAGTCCAGCCTGATTCTGCCCAGCACATACTCGGCCCTCACATAAACCAGTGGGAGCTATAGCCTAGTTGGAGTGACCCAAAATAACCCCCACCGGGCCTGCCCCCCTACCCTGGTTCCCGTGCTTGCCAGTATGTACAGCAGACTAGTCCAGTCTGTCCCACATCCATTCAGCTCTCATACATGTCAATGGGCATTGAAGCCTGGTTCAACCCAACCAGCCCCACTATCCAGTCCACACACATGTCAACGGGTGCCTTTCTGGCAGACCATCTCTTGTGTGGGAACAGATGAGTGAGGGAGGGGCTTAATTTGCTTTTTCTCACAGTGTGTTTGGCATCTGTACTTGTGATCACAAACAACATGTTTTGAAGTCTTTTCTTTCCACCTTGAGAGACAAGGAACCCTTCCGTGACTCTGTGACTCTGACAGCTGTGTCCCATCAAGGCACAGCTCTGACTGAGGGGGAAATGCAAGCAAGCTCTTCTCTTTGTCAGAATTCTGAGTACAGAGAGAGCATTTAGAACAAAGCATGACAACGGATCCAAGGTGGCTCCCAGTGAGGGCTGGGAGAGAACCCACACTGAGGGCTGGGAGAGAACCCACACTGAGGGCTGGGAAAGAACCGGCTGGCCTTGTTTTGCAGATGACTGGAGAAGCAGTGGGTGGTGTTGTCCCTGCCTTCCAGGTGAAGGGAAGCCAGTGCCCAGGGCCAGTCAGGCTCCTGTGACCCGGTCCCAACCACTGGAAGGAGTTTGACTGCCGCGACTTGCAAGTGGCCTCCTCTCTTGTCTCCTGCTTGTTCTCTCTCCTCCAATTCAGGCTGTTCAGCGTTGTTGTCTATGGATGACACTGGGTCCCATTACTGCCACCCCTGCAGCCGTAAAACGTCCCTGGCTTGTGTGCTACACCTCTGGGATGTCTGGGATGATCTCATTGAGAACCTGGGGTGGGGTTAGGCCAGCAGAATCCCACACCCAGGAAGTTACTTTCTCAAGTCCCTGAATTTAATCAAGCCGGAAGCACCCAGAGCCCTCCATAAACTTGAATTAGAGTGCTGAGCGAATTAACTGTTTGTTCCTCTTCATGTGCAATACATCTTTAATTACATTTCATAAAAACGTCTGGATGGATTGATGGAACTTTATTTAAACTTTAGGTAAGCCCAGGGAGTAGACGTTAGCACAGTATAACATGTTCTGTTAATCCAAGTTCAGAGCCCATTTACTTTATGGCAGTTCCTCAGAATCTTTGCTGTGGAGCTACTTAAAAATTTATTACCTCTGAGAAGATTCCTTTGGAAGTTGGAGTGGGTGCTTGGCAGTGTGTAACAGTCAACTGACAAACAGTCCATTGATAAACATGTCCACACTTCAGTTCATTGCACTGGCTCCCCTGATACGTGCAAAACACTGGCTCATTTTAGAAAAAGAAGATATTTCTCAAAACCCCTTCCACTCACACTGCAGCATTTATGAAGTAAGTCTTACCAGATAAAAGCCCTTGACAATGAAAGAAAATCCTCCCTGGTCTGACTGCCCTGTGTTTTCAATCAGCGTGGATTATTCTAGGTTCTAAAATGGGCTGATGATGCAAGGAAGGAAAATAGCCTTGTTTGCAGTAAACAACGCCACAGGCTCATGCTGTAACAGCGATTGCATTTCATTTCAGATTGTACGTATACTTGCAAAAACCTATCGCGGTTCTGCCACAGTATTAGATTTGATTTTTCTGCCTTCCATGAATCCTTTGGAAGGAACCAGAAAATTGTGTTTGTTGTTACTAATGTGCTGGAGAAAGGCTGGGCTTAGACACACCTCTGCACTGATCTGGGGTCTGTGTGGGTATGGAGGATGAGTTGAAGACTTATACTCCTGGGAGGGTGTTGGTCCAAATACAAAGCTCGGTGTGATGTGCACCCCTCGAACTGAGCTGGGGGACCTTCTCCTTGTCTTACACCTAGCCCTCCTTCTTGGTTTCTAGGTCTGTGTACAAAATGTGTGGACCCAAGCCCATCAAGGGTTGACTCTGTGGCCTTAATTAACAGCAGGGCAATTAAACAGAGAAGAGCCATCCTCCCTTCTCCCTGGAGCTGAGGGAGTGGAGTTGGCAGCAGCAAGGATGCGGTTCTTGGGTGCAGGAAGAGCGAGCGGGCAAGAGAGGCTCATCAGAGAAGTCACTGTGCAGTCAGGCTTGAGCACATGGCTACCAGCAATGGCCAAGGCAGAACCCTCAATGGATGTCGTAGCCCAAAGTCCAATTCACATGTGATCTGAATCAGACCTGGGAGTTACTACAGCAGCCAAAAATCACATCTTCCGTGCACCTGCTCTACCTTTGCCCTTCATTGCCCACCCGCTCCCCAGCTCCTCTGTCTGAGTGCTCCCTCTCCATCTGTCTGGGATAAGCTGAGTGAAGATTCCCACAGCCCTTAGGTCACACAAGGGTTATATTAGCTTATCATCCCTGCTGCCTGGTTCTGGGGTAGCTGGGTCCACTCATGGCACAGGAGGCTCTCCATAAATGTCAGGCTCCCTCGAGGGACAAGGTGTTTTGGGAGATCCACCCAGGTGCTGTTGGCCCCCTCCTGTCACTGGCACTGTGGAGGGGGGTGTTTGCTGCTGCTGCTTCCCAACCTGGCCTGCTGTAGAGGTGACTTCCTGTACCAAGAGCCTCTGGCCACATACAATCCTAGGGGGCAGCAGAGGCTCGTTTAGGCCATCTTTCTGCCGAGAAAACATGGGGCTGGCTTCCAGCCTTTAGCCCTGGTTGCCATAGCAGAGGGCACACAGCCTCCAGCACAACCCAGCTCTGCCTTTAAGGAAGCAGACCTCTTTCCTGTCCAGGGCTCATCTGCTCTTTCTTCCTAACCCGGTTCTACCCTATCACCTCTGTGGCAACTCCCCCACAGGGTACCACACTTTCATCCACTTTGTCCTGTGTTCCTGCAGCCAGACCTTGTTTCTTCAAAGCTCCTAGGATCCTGCTGCTAAACCCTAGCACGGGGTAAGGCCCCCTTGCCAACCTGTCTGCCCTGAGCCACCTGCCAGTCAGCTCCTGCTTGCTCAGCCGGGGCCCAGCTCACCTGGAGCTCTGCTTTGCTGTCCATGTTGTCATTCCTATTTAGGCAGAGTGAACCAGACATCCAAGCCTGGTTCCCTCCCATGCTCTTACCTCATCCCCAACTATTTGGGTGGCTGACGGTACAAGTGGTCCCCACATGTCCAGCTATAGGTATGGTTCTGCCTGTGCATCTGCTGGTCTGCCTATGGCCTGGAACCTTCTCTGAAGTCAGTAGTGCCACTCTACAAGTGAATATAAGTGCATGGCTGGGCATAAAAAGCCCTCTCTCCCCAGAGGGGTGGGTGGTGGCCCCTGTTGGTAGCTTAATCAGCTAAGCTTTGGGTGCCTTTACCTCCTCCTTAGTAACCAGACAAGCCAGTTCCAACACCAGCAGGTAGAATTTATTAGTCATAGTCAACCTCTCTCTGGGGAGGAAGCCTGAGCCCCTGAGACATGGGGAGCCCATGCTCTATTTGAAAAGAAAGGATTTGAGGCCTATAATTTCCCCCAGATTCAAAAAGTCAACTTGGCAGCAAATCTGAGGGTGGGCCGCTTAGCTATGATGCTGGGTGAGTGTTCTTATCTTTTGACAACCCACTGAGCAGGCACTGAATCACCCAATTACTGCAAGTTCTTTTCCACACAGAGAGCACTCCGCAGCCTCCAGTGGAAAAACTCCAAGATGTGCAGCAAGCGCACAGCTCATCGGCAGAAGCAGGTTTTTGGCATGCCTGGCCATTCTTTCAATACCAGCAGAAGTTCTGTAGATGACTTGGGAATACACTCCACCAAGAAGCCCTGGGTGGTGGTGGAAGGAGACAGTCATGTGCGTGTCACACAAGTGCCTCCATTAGGGCACAGGGCATCTTGTCTGGGAGGCTGGATTGTGCCCACTCGGAGGAGAACCCATGGATGGGTTAGGCTGGCAACAGTGTTTGGACTCTGCTGAGGCCGGGAGGTGGTATGGAACCAGTTCGCTGGTGTTGGGGTGGGCTTGGCAAGCAAGAGAGGAAGAGGGTGGGAGAGGCTGTGTGTTCTGATCCCAGCTCAGTTTGTGCCTGATGGGAGCTGCTAGCTAATCAGCATAGAAACCAAGATCTTAATGAGGCTTTCAGTGCTATGCCATGATTCAACCTTAAAAACACAGTGCCTTCCAACCATCCGTACAGCTGGGTGTGCTTCAGCAGATGGAGTGGTGGGGGAATCGTGGGCAATGAGATGAGATAGAAAGAGCCAGAACCGTCCATGCATGGTGTTATTCTATCTTCTTCTCAGCCTTGAGGCCTCAGGCAAGACTCTGAGGGAGTAAGGTAGGGGGGCCCCTACCCCCCAGCATTTATCTGCCAAACCCGAGAATGCTGCTGTGGTGAGGATGGCGCTAACCCGAGAAAGTGCCTGGCCTATGAAGTGTGTAATAAACCACCTCTTCTCCACCCCAAAGTAAGACGGAGGCACTTGAGGGATTACAGAGTTTCCACTGTGGAGTCTAAAGTTCTGGGTAACCGCTGAACCCCAAGGCAAACCAAGAGCCAAATCTGAAAAAATGGTGCCTGCTTGAGGCCAAGCAGACCTGCTGGGCAGTGCCCTGCTGAGGTTGCTTTCCGGGACATCTCGGCAGTAGCTGTTCACCCACCATCTCTGCCTTCTGTGGTGACTGGCATCCGTGTGATCTGGTGGCCAGCCTGTCAGGCTGCATTCTTCTGCTGGGGCTGTGTCTCCAGCTGGGATTTGTCTTGGATGTGGCTGGAGCGGGCCTCTGGCTGCAGCCCGTGGCCCAACACACAGAGCTCCGGGGGTGATGCTTGCCTATTGCCACCGCCTTGGCTGCAAGGGCTGCCCCAGGTCTCTGTGTCCTGCTTGGGGCTCTCTTCACTGCTGCTGCTGCAGAGACAAAGGGTGAGATCAGACCCTGCTCTGCTGGTCCTCCTGGCCCTCCTGGCCCCTCTGGCCCTCCTGGCCCCCCTGGCCCTCCTGGCCCCCCTGGCCCTCCTGGCCCTCCTGGCCCTCCTGGCCCTCCCCCCTTCCCTGGCCCCGCCCCATCCCTCTGTGGTGCCAAAGACTGTCCCTATCAGGTGGGTGGGGCTGTGAGCCTGCAGTGGTTGGTTGGGCTCTGTGGGAAGTCAGCTTGGGTCCTGGGACAGACAGGTGGAGTTCTGTTCTTTCTGTTGGTGCCAGGGCCCTGCCGCTCTGAACAAAGCAATTTGCACAGGAGTGCTGGGAGCCCAGCTCTTGTTTTGCTTTTGTTTCTAAAGCACTTCTTGTTTAATAACGGGCTGGAGTTAGCTGGCTGGATTAAAAACAGCAACAAGAAATGGCAAAACACAAACCAGCTCTGCCAGCTGCTGTGCTTTTTCCAACATGAAGCCAAACAGAAACACTTTGATCCAGCCCCAGCCAGCATTGGAGTAGAATGCAGAGTCCTAGCTGCTGGCTTAGAGCCAGGGGGAGCTGTGAGTGCCAAGGGACCCCCCCCCCCCATGTGGTCCTCGGTGTGGCTGCATGCTGTGGAAACTCAGAAAGCAGCACAGGTTAAGCCTCAGCTAGAAGGGAGACCAGCTCTGGGGAGAGGGGGCACACTGGCTGTTCACTGGCAGGCTGGTCTCAGGTCCTCACAGTGTAGAGGTCAGAAACTGGCTGGCAAGGGCCAGCTGTGGCCATCCCACTCAGTGGGCACAGCATGCCCTGTGGCTCATCCGTATCTCTGGGTCTCCACACCCTCCTATGTAAACATGGAAATCAGCATCTCAGCATGTGTCTCACTGGGCACTCATGGGCATCCTTGCTGGAGGCAGTGCACAGGGCTCTGAGTGTGCCAGGAGGTGGGTAACTGGCACTGTAGTGCTGCTTCACAGGAGGAAGTGCTCTGACTGGCACTCCAGGACTACCAACCATTGGCAGGTGAGACCTCACTCGGAGTGCCCACTCGCTCACTTCAGGACCAGGATGGGAGCCTTGCTCCCTACAACATGGACCAGAAGACCTACTTCTCCCCTCCGGCAGCACATACTTGCCCACTATGTGAACCTTATTTCCTAGTGTCCCCAGCTCTGCACTTAGGGCCTACCTTGGAGGCTGATTGGTAGAGAACAAGTTTACATTTGGGTTTGGACAAGATGGGTGGGTGCTGAGACTGCTGTATATCATGGCTGTCAGACAGGAAGGTAGTGTCCTGGAGGTCACAGCCAGTCTCATCCATGTAGCCCCCTGGTCCTACCCCAGGTCCCTGCAGGTGCTTGGGGCCACTGAGATTGGTGGGCCTCCATGGATCCCACCTTACTCACTTGTCCTGGAGCAGGGGAAAGCACTTTGTGACCTGCTCCTTTGTTGCTCCCTGGCTGCAAGGGCTTAGAGGGAGCAGAGAGCATCTCCAGAGGGACATCTGTGGCGGGCAGCCTCTGGACACTGCCACGGTGGGTCTAGGACTGTATCTCCCAAATCCCTAGGAGGTTCTGGAGCTTTAGGAAGGCCCTGTCAGCACACCCAGCTGGCACCATGAGGCCATGTTTCTACCACTGCTGGGGAAGCAGGCTGCCCGCCTGCCGTCCTGCTGGTCACTGAGACAGAGCATGGGTGGTGGTACAGACCAGGTTGGACACTGCACAGTGCAGAGACTGGACACTGTGCCATTGGAGCATGAGGTCTGGCTCTCTCTTGCCTTCGCGTAGGGCTGCAGCATCCTGAGACCTCGAGACAGGTGCCTGCACTAGGGTATTCAGGATGTGCTCAGAAACAGAGCTTGCTGGGGAGCCTCCAAGGACCGTTCTCATTCCGCAGGGCCCTGAGTCCAGGAAAATACAAACACACACTAACCGCCTCCTCTGTGAAGAGGAAGCTTTTGCCTAGCAGAGGATGACTGGATGGGAGTCAAGACTGGGAGGAGGCCTGTCCACCTGCAAGTCACAACGGGTGTGGTTGCATTCCTGCAAGTCCCTACTTGGGGGAACAGACTGTGCTGAGCAGTCTCCAGCTCTCTGGCACAGGCTTGCTGTGCAGTCTTGGGGAAATCACAACCAGTGCTCTGGTGCTAGCTCCCAGCATGCAGGATGGCAGACAAAGATGCATGCCCTGTGCAAAGACTCATGGCCCTGTGACGGATGCGCTTCTGCTCCCAGACACCAGCTTCATGCTTGAGCATCTTCCCATCACTTACTCACAGCTTGGCATGGCTTAGAAGTGTGGGGGTGCCAATGGCAGGGGAGTGGGGTTTGTCATTATGTGACCTTGGGCTAGGCTCCCTTTTATGCAACCTCCTCTCTTTTGCAAGCGACAAGTCCCCCCAAACCCCAAGTGTTGGCAATTTAGCACATAAAACAACCTTTTAGTCTGCTGTGTTCCGAGGAGAAGCCTGAGAAAAGGGCATTATTTTCTTCTTGAACAATTTTATGTGACTTTATTATTGCTCCTGCTGTTTTAAAATGTTAGTGTTTTTAATTAATGCCATTTTATTGTTCCTGTTCTCGCAGACCCTTCTCCTGAAGGGCACAGTTTTAGAAATCTAATAACTGATTAAGTGGCTGGTGTGAGAACTAATGCATTAACATTTATAGAGGTTCTTAGATGAAAGCCACTGTGCTGTAGGAAACTCATCTTAGATTTAAGAAAAGAGCAGCAACGTCACATTAAGATGCTTGCAAAAATCATCAATATTTCATTTCTTTCAAGTAGCTGGGCACGTTGATATCACTACCAGCAGGCAAAACTTTCTAGAGATAGTATATTTAAAATGGACCGCTGGGTAGTTTGTAAAAAATAACCACGTATGTCTGGACAGGTTGTCAAACCCACAATCATGCCATCAGTCTAGTAGGAATGAACTGCTGATTTACACGACCGGGGGCAACGCAAAGATAGCCAAGGCTGGTGCTGGCTGATCTGATATCTAGACACATTGATAGCAGTGCTAACAGGTATTAGATTGATACTCTTTCTCCTCCATGCCACAGTTCTTAGGAAAGGCGCATTTCCCTTCGTAAGGTGGCCATCGGAGGGAATGAGCCCACTGCTCAGTGCTCTTACAATGGCTGTTCCGCGTCCCCTTACACCTGTGTGGCAGGTCCATCTGCTGACTGGGAACGTGGCATGTAAGTCACCCACTGCTCATGACCAGGGATGCTGGCAGCTCCCTTGAGGGCAGGTACAGACGCCCTTGATCTTGTGTGGAGCAGGGGTGGATGTGACTCTTGAACCTGTATGTACATACGCAGGAGGCCAAACACATTGCATACATCCCGACCCAGCCATTGTCGTGGTATGGCTCTGGAGCCTGGGGCGTCTGGGAGTCCCTTCCAGGGGACCAACGGGTCACAGCTCTTTTCCTTCTAATGCTATGATGCGACTGACCCTTTCATTGTTCTCTTGGCGTGTGTGTGTGTGGGGGGGGTGGGGTAGGGGTGGTCCTTCCTCTGTCTGACTGACATCTGATGTGCCTTGGCCTGGTGGAGCCGCTCAAAAGACTTGCCCAAATGCAAGGTGGGGCCACTCTTTTCACAAAATCATCTGCGGGTAGAAAATCTTTCATAGGAACAATAGAATGTGTTTTACCATCTTTTTTTAAATGTATGCCTATACCTTTCTCAGTTGTAATTTCAAATATGACAAAAAACAATATAGCCCATACAGAGGCTGCTTTCGAGTTCTTGATACCAGAACCAAGGTGGACAGGGGTCCTGGGAACAGTCTAAGAGCCACCTCCAACAGCTGGCCCCCTGCATGACCCAGCAGCCCTGGCTGCCAGCTGCCGGCACCAGGGTGTGTGGCTGTGAGCCGGGAACAGGAGGGGTCTTGGCGTGGTCTCCCCATTTTCTGAATAAGAGGTGCATGAAGTTAGACTAACGAAATCACTGCAAACTTCTTTTTCATCGAGCTCATCCCCTGGAACTCTCATAGGCAGCAGGTAAGAGCCTTGTCGCTCAGGACTGAGTGGGCATTGGATCCTTTCCCCCACACCTCTTTTCTTCCCATTGCCTCTCCTCTTGGCCCCGAAGATGCTCAGGGTCCATGGGTTTGGTTTTGTTCCAAGGACCTGAAGGACAGGGGCTCTGGGATGTTTCCTACCTGCTTTGGCTGAGTCGGGGGTCCCAGGTGGGGCTGGTGGGGCCAGCGCCAGCCAGCTGGGGCTGGAGCCCTGGCTGGCGGTGGGCAGAGGTCCTCCTGATGAAAGGCTGTGGGTTGAGGGCACACAGAGCTGTCTTCCTCTGCAAGTCAGTCTTTGGCTGTGGCCTGGAGCATCGTACCCGAGTCTCTGGAAGGCTTCCAGCCCCTGGTGGGGTCAGCAGGTGGGCTGTCGGGTGGGGTGATTTAGCTTCAAACAGGGAGGAGGAGGTGGCTGGGCAGAAGAAGATGGAGCCTGCGTTCCCTGGTGCTTCAGCCATGGCTGCCTGGCTGTCTTGGGATTGTCTCCTTTCCTTGTGTCCTTGAGAAGGGGACACTGGGGGCGACAGGGAGGGGCCAGAGGAGGGGGAACTTGCTTCTGGGTGCTGCGTGGGTGGACTTGCTGGGGGAGAGCTGCACAGCTTGTGCTTGGGCAGCGGGGAGGTTCGCCCCTTTGTAGCAGGTGGGCTCAGCACTCTAGGAGGGCTGGGGGCTCCTGGGCTGAGCGGTGGACTGGGGGACCCGTGTGTGGCTGGAGCACTGGGCCGGGCAGGCCGGTGGGAGGCAGGCAAGCTCCGGTGCCTCTTGTCTGCCTGGGGTACCCAGCGAGCCCTTGGGGGAGAGGCCTTCTGGATCAATGTGGGGCTTCTCTCTGGGCCCTGCCTGGGGGCCTCGGCTGGCTGTGGCCCCCTGGTTGGTCTGGCTGAGCCAGGTTCCGAAATCCTGCTGTGTGCCGATGCAGGGCTGGAGCGGTGCCTGGGAATAGCCTTCTCTGCTTGTGCCTGACCTTGTGCCCCACTGTCTCCCTCCGGGTCTGGGCTGGCTGCTGCTGCTGCTGCTGCTGCTGCTGCTGCTTGTCGGGGAGAGCTCAGTTCCGGGGCCAGCCTTCTGGGATTGCAGCTCATCTTGCTGCCCGCTGGCCCCGTGCTGCGGTGCCTGCTGGGGCCAGCGGAGCTCTTGCTGGGTAGCAAGTTCCTGGGACTCAGGGAGGCTCTCAACTTTGCAGGTGCCCACATGGTCCTTGCCAGTCCTGCTTCCGGGGGCTCTCTGGGGGAGTTACCTGCTGGCACAGGTGCATGGCTTCCTGGGAACTCCAGAGAAGCAAATGATGTGTCCATCAGGATTTCTAAGGGTGGTGGTGGGAGCTTCCCTGGGTCCCCCTCAGGTTCCCAGCTGATATCATCTTCATTCTTAGGGCTTTCTGCTGGCGGCAGTGGGGGGAGGACAGGGACAAAGGGCCTCCGGGGCGTGCCCATTTGTAGAGGGTTTCTGCCTGCTGCTGGAGAAACCTGAGGCTTAGTATACAAAGGGGCAAGACCCCTGTAGATGGGAAATCTTGGAGGCATGAGGGGGACCCCCCACTTCCCCAGAAAGGCCCGTGACCCCAAGTTCTTGCTGTCTCCCAGGGTCCCCAGCCTTTCAGTGGTATTAAAGGTTTCAATGAGCTTCTTGACTGACGTCCTAGCTGGACAGCCCTCGGCATTCCAGCCCTGGGTGCTGGCAGCCTCGTGGTCCTTCTCACCAGTTGGGGCATCATTTGGAAGCTTCTTGGCTTTCCTAAGCCAAGGTTGGTCCCCCTCAGGGTGGGGGCTGCATTTCTGCCAGATGCTCTTGTCCTGACTGGGCAGGACACTGAAGCCCTTGGTGAGAGAGGCCTTGAGCTTGGCACTGGGGCTGACCCTGCAAGTGCTGCTGGGCCACGGCACCACTGTCCTGGGCTCCTTGCTCTGACCTTGCTGCTTGGCACTCAGTGCATAAAACGCCTCCAGCTTCTGTCCGAGATCCCTCTGGACCCTCTGCAGCTCCTGGAGGGTGACGTCCTCCGTGGGACTCCCGAGACACCCCTCTGACTGGGACCTCCTGTGCCTCTCAGGGCCCCTCCGGCTGCCACTGACGGTGCTGGGCCTCGGTGGGACCGTCACCATCCCCTCTTCCTCCTCTGCCCAGCCCTGGTGTGCAGAGGGCACAGGGACAAACTTGATCCTCTCACTGATGGCTTCCTTCATCTTTAGAATCATTTCCCGGGTCTGGGGGCTCCTAGGCCGCCTGGGGTGTGGCTGAAATGGGCTTTTTGAGTTGGCAGGTGATGATCGTGGCCTTGAAGGAGAAGCTGGTTCCTGCCATGCACATGGAACTACGCTGCTCACTTCGCCCTCCTCTGGGCTGCTGTCCTCATCCTCGCTGAGGACTGGAACCGACAAGCCTGAGCCACAAGAAAACCGTGGAGACAACCGTGCTTCTGCAAGGTCCCCAGCCCCGGGGCCATCACACACCCTGCTGTGGCCCAGCCTGGGGCTGCTGTGTCCCCGGCTTGTGCTGTAGGAGCATGGGCTGCTGGCATCTCCCTGGACTGCTGGCTGAACCTTGGCCCTCGGAGGTCTTGAGAATGGGCAGTCCTGGGGCACGTCTGAGCCCATCCAACATGGATTTGGCTGCCAGGCATGTCCTGATGGCCAGGCCTCCAGCTGGGATAAGGTCGTGTTCCACTCTGTAGGCTCTGGTGTCAAGTCCCAGCTGCCTTGATTGCCCAACTTGTCCATGGAATGCACGGACTCGCTGTCAGCCCCAATGCCACTGTCCTCAGAGTACAAGGGCACACCCTGAACCCCAGGCTCACTAGCCAGGCTCTCCAGTTGCCCTAGGGCCGTCAGCAGGTGTTCCTCAGTGTCCCTCTGTGTGCTCAGCTTGTTCTCCAGGTGGCTGACGGTGGAGTGCAGGGTGCGGCTGCAGCCCTCTAGGGAGCCTCTGGTGAGCAGGGACATCGCACCCTGCAGTGTCCGCAGCCGACCCACTGTGTACTGCAGCAGTTGCTGCAGGAGATCTGGCTGTTCCTCTGGCTCTCCCTTCCCTGGTGACCATGCCAGGTCCCCCCGGACTGCCTGGAGGAGCTTCTCTCCATCCTGGGAGATGTCCCCCAAGAGCCGGCTGACCTCTTCAAAGCACCGCAGCAGGAAGCCAAGCATGGGCTGCAACAGCTCACGGGTCTGCGTGGCCTGCTGCACCAGGCACAGGACGGCCTCATATTTGGACAGGCTGCTGTGCAGGTAGGCATAAGCGTGCTGGTGGGCCTTCACCAGGGGCTCGGGGAAGTCCACCTGGCCTTCCCGCCCGGGAGTTGGTGGGACAGGTTGGCAGTCAGGACCCCGTTTGCCAGACCTGTGGCATATTGGCTTCCTTTCCCTTCCCTCACCGTCTTCCTCTTGCATTCCGTGGGAGGTCAGTGTCTTGAGTGGAATGTCTTTGACCATGTGACTTTGAGCTCCGTTCAGCTGTGAAGGGAAGCTCTTCTTGCCGCCCTGGATCAGTTCTTCCTGCTTCTTGCTTTGACCGGAAGCTGGATCTCCCGTGAACTCACCTTCAGCTGTGGATTGGGTCCTCCCAGGACTTGGCTGCTCCCCCGTTGGCCTCCATCCCGAGGACAGGTTCCCCTCAGAGTCATAGCAGGTACAACTTTTCACCAGCAAAGGGAGGGAGCCTTTTTCACTGTCCCCCTGGCGGCCTGGCAAAATTCCCCTGGGCTTTTTCAAAAACTGGATGCCACTCTTCGCCACGCTGTTTACGATGTCACTGTGGGAAGGTGTGCAGCCCATGGTTTCAGCAGTCAGTCATCTTCCCCCCGACCTTTAATGGCCTTCAGAGCTGTATTAGAAGCAGGAAGGAAAGATCTTTTGCTAGTCCATCTGGGCAACTGCAAACCAGAATCCTCTGTAGTCTCTGCAATGTACTAACCTGGGGCCCAGCTTTCTTGACTCCTGTGGCCCACAGTGCACAGGGACTGGACCCAAGTTTTGAGCTCTCTGCTGTTAATGAGAAGCAGGACAATTCTAAAGGACCCAGGACTGGTGGATTAGAGGCTTGTGTTTTGCCCACGTCCTGACAGATGCGGATAGCAAGTGGAGGTAAGCCTATTAGGTTAATCACGCCCCAGCCAGTCAGCACTCACAGCATGTTCTAATATAGAACTTCTCAGCATTTACTATCTTGGGAAGCGGATTATTTCTGCACGTGCTTATGCTTTTAATTCTGCTCAGACGCCTGCCGTAGGAGACCTAGAGAAAGAAACTATGATTGCCAAGGCTCCAGAAGAGTCATGTTGGTTGGGGGAGAAGCAAGGGCGGGCCAGTTACAGACCCTGTGAGGGAAATGCCCTTCATGGTTTAATAAGGGCAAATCAACGGAGGGGGCATTGGTCACCTGGTGGGGGCAGGAGGGTGGTCAGCCAGAAGACCCTGGAGCTCCCCTAGCCCACCCTGAAGCAACCAGTCGTAGACTGTGTGGGTCCAGCAAGGGAGAAGGTCCCTAAGAGAGACAGTGAAGATGTTGAGGCTGTTTCCTGGGTTAGGCAGCTGGAGGGCCATCCTCCCTGCTTTGGAGAAAAATCCCAGTGCCTCGTGGAGTTTAAGTTCATTCAAGAAGACCCATAGGGGGTCAGGGAGCAATGCTCTGCTGGGGAAGGGACCTTTTATTGAAACTTCCTCTTAGGAAAAGAGCAAAAACCCGGCACAGGAGAGCAATTTAGTTGCCAGGAGTGGAATGCAGGACCTCCAGGGGTGGGAGTGTTTTTCCCTATGGGCACACCTTGTATCCTTGCACAGAAGAGCAGCCGGCCCCATCACACACTCTCCTGCTATCCATCTCTTGCTGTCAGAGAACTCTTCCGCAAGAGCTTGGAGTAGGTACACCCGAGTTCAGATCCCGACTCTTTCTCCTTTTAGTTGGGGAAACTTCCTTTAGTTTGACAATTTTCCCTGGGCGGAGGTCTTTTTAGAAGCACAGGAGTTGGCTCTTGGTTCACAAAGCTGTGGAGGGGATTAACTGTTGGTAAGGGCTTAGCCTGGAGCTTGGCACAGGAGAGGGACTAAAAAACAGAGGGGTTTTTCTCCTCGGAAACTGGGCTGCTTATAAAAACCAGAGTCTTGAAGGAATTTCTTGGTTTGTCAAAACCCAAGTCCTTTCTGGAATTGTCTGGAAACGGTTGCACCTGCTCTTAGTTAGCTTCTTTGCCATCCATACCTGCGTCAATACCTTGTCCTACTTAGTAAAAAAAAAAAAAAAAGCAAAGCAGTGGACACAGGCCCTGTTGTGAAAGGAGAACACGGCAGATCATACGGCGTAACAGTAGAAGGAGAATAGAACAAACTAGACAACTACCCCAGTCAAATAATGACAGCAAAAAATGATAAAATAATGACAGCTGCCTCCTTGTGCAATTTCATTAAACACAAGGTAGACAACAGACTTTTCTCCCACCATTTCTTGTGGCCAAATTGTGGCCAATTTTGAATTTTCTAAATACAGACAAACAACACGGAGCGTTTCGTAAATGGAGGTTGGAGATGATATTCTGGCTTTACAGTCTTCATTTGTTCTTTCTGGAACAGCAAATGGTAGCAACGCTGAGGGTGTCAGGATATTTCAGACACAGAAAGGACCGGGCTATGTGCACAACACTGCAGCCGGTGCCTCCAGATGCATAATGCTTTTTTTTTATTATTAATTTTATTTCTTTATAATGATTACATGGTTGATCAGGGTGGGAAGGATCGAAGTTTGGGAAAACTGGATGAACTCGTTGTTTCCAAATTTGCTATTTATTCTTGCTGTTTCTGGGAGAAGGGGAGAGACAAAGAAGGAAACCACTCATGACTTTCCAGGGATGAGGAGTCACCACATTGTATCAACCCAGGGTCTCAATGTGTACATATCCCGAGGGTTCTGCCCAAGCGGTTTGAATAGTTTTGGAATGTTTTCAATTTCACTGATCCAAGGATGATGTCACCCTCCCAGTGTCCATTGGCTGATGTAGTAAGCCTCAACTCTCCATTTACCGAGATTTTTTTTTGCTGTCATTATTTGACTGGGGTAGTTGTCTAGTTTGTTCTATTTTCCTTCTTCTACTGTTACGCCGTATGATCTGCCGTGTTCTCCTTTCGCAACAGGGCCTGTGTCCACTGCTCTGCTTTTTTTTTTTTTTTTACTAAGTAGGACAGTTCTTGCAGGTGAGCCCAAGGACCTGAGCCAGGTGACCCAAGCCCTGTTGGACCCCCTGCCCATGGGGCTCACGAACTTGGCACCCACCTCATAGGCTGGCCCCAGGACCCAGGCCAGGTGATACAAGCTCTGCTGGGTCCCCCACCTCCAGGGCTCACAAACCTGATGCCCACCTAGAAGGCTGGCCCCAGGACCTGGGCCCGAAGCCCCACTGGATTCTCCTGTCCCAGGGACTCACGAACCTGACCCCTCACCACCTAGGTGGACCTTAGGACCTGAGCCAAGCTACCTGAGCCCTATCAGATACCCCATCCTTGGGACTCATGAACCTGGCCCCAACTGGGCCCAGGCTGGCATGTCTTGCCTCACCTCAGCATCCACAATCTTATTGCACAGACTGGCCTGGTCTAGCCTGTCCCCTGTTCCAACTCATGCTGGTGGCTGCTGCAACCTGTCCCAGCTCAGCCTGGTTGTTGTCCTGGCCCTAATGTGAACTGGCTGGTGTTGTGGCCTGATCTGGCTACTCCTGCCCCCTGCCCTGGTTCTCAGATCTGCCAGTGGGTGTTATGTGCTTGTCAGACTGTCTTGTGTCCAGACCTGACCCACATGTATGCTGGTGGGTACTGTAACCCGGCATGGTCTGGGCTGCTCCTTGCCTTGCTTCTTGCATTCACCTGCAGGAACTGCTTCCCAGTGAAGGAGTTTCCCAAGTTCCTCTATCGAGTCTCTTCCCAGTGGTGGTTCTCATGTGCACACCAGTTGGTCCAGGTGCATAATTAACATACCTCCCCTCTCTGTTTATTTGAAGAACTCAGGGGAGGCATGAGCTGAATCAGTGCTTGGGGGCCAGCTAGGCTCGGCCTCACGGTGCTGTTCCGTGTGTCACTGCACTGGGCTGGCCCATGAAGGAGGCACTGCATGCTATGCCTTCTTCCTCTTTGGTCTCCCACCGAACAGCCAGAAGCTCTTCTGCAGGATGATTTATGTAAATGCTTCTCCCCCCGGGACGTGGGCCACTGCTCAACTCATCTCTCTGAAAACCTTTGATCTAAGTGGCTGATGTTATTTCTAAATCAACCATCAGAATTGAAATATTAGTCTGGAGGATCAGTGGTCAGACAGCTCTGTACCTTGGAGACTGACTTTCTCAACTAGCCCAATAATTGTTTATTCACTGCCATGCATTTCTCATTGAGATTGGCTTTTGTTTTTCTTCTTCTTTTTTTTAAGACTGTAGTTTCTTCAAACAAAAAAGCAAAAGAAACCCACTATTTGTGTGGGGATGTAAAATAGTACAATATGGAAAGCTAACACTTAAATATTCCTCTTAAGAGTCATCAATTCCATTCTTGAGACTTTACCTAAGAGAATTAAGCACACGGGTCTACAAAGATGCTGCTACAAGAATATAGACATAGAAACTATTCATAATAGCCTCAAGTTAGAAATGATCTCAAGGTCTATGAGTTAGGAAATAGAGTCAGTGTAATTAATTGCACAGTGGACTGCCACCCAGCACTAAAAGGAACACTACGTAACAGCGTGACTAAATGTCAAAAAGTATTATGGTGTGTGAAAGACACTGGACATAACAGAGAATATACTGAAGGATTACATTTATATGAAGTTCGAAAACAGGCAGCAGTAACCTAGTTACACACCTCTTAAAAATTGTTGTCTTTGGGAAGAGCTATTGATGTGTTTTGGAGGGGAAAAAATATCTGAGGATCCTGGAAATGTTTAATATCTGGGACTTGTGGGTGTTGGCAGTTCCTGCGGGGAGGAATGTGGGAGTGCAGGCTGCAGCCAGCCTGGGTTGCCTGGCCTGGCCGAGCGGTGCGGAGGTAACCCATTGGCCTGGTTGCTGGTGGAAGGTCGTGGTTCCTTGCTGGTTGCTTGTAGGAGGCGTCAGCTGCTTCTCACGTGGACCAATGCATGGCACTGTTCGAACGTCCTTCCAACACGGCAATGGGCTTCCTGCAAAGTGGGGCTCCAAGGGACCAGAAAGAAGCTGGACACTCCTAAGGGGACCTGTCCAACTCCCAGGTGGTCTAAGAAACGAATTCCTCTGCTTCCACCACTGAGCAGTGGCTTTGAAGATAGCCCTGTTAGAAGAAACACCATTTTTACTTTCCTCATCATTGTCCACATGCTGTAAAATGCTCTTCAGAAATGTAGTGATAGTGGGGGAAATTATAAAAATCACTCGTTCCTTTTAAAGTAGCCCAAGGAAAACATCAAACATGAGCTATCTCAGAAGCCACACAGCTTTGATTTCTCCACATCTTGTTCTTTTGGAAGCCAGCCACTAAGGATGGCTGCACTCAGCTGAGAGAGTTAGGCCCGCCTGCCAAAATCATGAAAATCAATCAATCTGGAACACACCATAGGTCAAACCATGACACTTACAACATAATTATGGTTAGTAAACATTGGTTAATACACTGTCACCTCTTGCTGTTCAGGTTAAACAAATTCTTTGCTATTTTGTTTCATGTGGCCCTGAAGCAAATGACCAGCTAAAGATGGTTATAATATGCTACCAATTTTTATGCAACACTGGAAGCCATTTAAGCATTTAAATGGATGCAATCTTTCT